TATTTTTTATTCAAATTCACAATATCTAATATCTATTTGGGGAAGTACAAATATTTCACGTTTGAAGCCACTCATGAAATTACAAAATAGAACAATAAAGTGCATTTTTAATTTACTTTTTTTAGAATCAACTGTGAATCTATACAAACCTAAAGACTTGCTGAATCTAGTTTCATTATATAAACTCTAATTTTTTTGTTTTAATCATTTTGTTTCAGGAAGGAATTGAAAATATCAAATTTGAATTTTAATGAAGTTGATACGATTCACGCCCATGAAACAAGGCAATTTAATTTATTGATAGTAAATAATTATAAGTCAAATTTTGGTAAACACTGGGATAATTTTATATAACTCCCTACCTAATGAGTTGGAAAATATAGAAGCAGAAAATTTCAAAATCAAATTAAAGAAATATCTGCTCAGTAAACTTTAAATCCATATCTACTAATCATTCAGAATTTGATTACTTGTAATGTACTTGTAATTTTTTTATGAAAAACAATAATTGTGCAATTATTATTGTCTCGATTTATTATGTTATATGTATGTTTTGTTGTATATATCCCTATTATAAACAATAATATTTCTTGGGGTAATAAAGACAATCAATCAACACACTTACCATGTTGAAAAGAGACAACTTTCATGCACTCAAATGAGAATAAAATCACTACACCGGAGATAATTTTCATTATAAGTAGAAGGAAAATATAACTATTGAAAATTCCTGATACATGTCGATCTTCGGTTCAAATTTTCATAAACTATCGTATTTTTGTTCACCTGTACAAATTTCAAGTAACTTCTGAAACTGTTTTGTAATCAGCTCAGCAGAAAAATCCGAAAATCCAAAAAAAAATGGATTTCCAATAAAAAAAGTTACTCATGGAGTCATCACCATGTATATTAGATTATTATTCTAAAAAATGGTAAATTGAAATCAGAATTGATTTTATTTCATTCAATTTCATGTTTAACCGTTTTATACGAAATTTTATAAGCTCTTTACAGGGTTTTCAAATATAAGTCGGCACTATTGCGAACTTGGTTATTATTGGAGCTATCAAGTCAGGTACCTAAATGGACAAAATAGTAGTATTTTTTGGCAAAAATTAAACAGGAATCTAACATAGCGTTCACGAGTTACGTAAAAAAGTTCAATGTCTTTGAATGGGACACATAGTATACAATATTCTCAATCAATAGGAAATTCGATTGCGAATTATGTATTGATTTTGAAGCAAGTGCAGTGCCCTCCAGACTATTGAGATGCGACCTTTTGCAAATAATTTGTCCTACAGTCTTCACAAAATGGAAAATAATTTTGCACTTTGTTCTATTGATTTCTATTCAATCACTCCGTATATGAATAGAAAGAAAATAATAAAAAAATCACTCACCATATCTAAAAAGAAGAACAACAACAACAATACAAAACATCCCAGTCTTTTTATTGCTGGAAAATTCCACCAGAACTCACTCACACACACACAAACGTTTCACTATAATCACTCAATGACACCATACATTTTGATTCCCACGTGTAAACAATATAAGTTATTGTTCCAAATCAATCAGATCGACTGCACGCGATGAAATCTAATACAATACTGCGTCGCCACCGGCACCACCGGTATCGGATGCATGATTAACCTCCATAGTGATTCATCAGTTACGTCATCATTCTAACCGAATAATTTTCGAACAGGAATTGTATTTCTGACTAATCACATCAAAAATAATGTACCTATTCCAGGTGTGGTTTAGAAAGAAATTCAATATACAGTGTCATCATGATGAGAATATATTTATTCATGCAAATTTGATGTTCATGAACTGTTTTGTGTCTGAAAATGATTCGAAATTTCGTCAATCTCGAAGTTTGTATGAAAAAAAAACAAATAAAGTGGGTTGTTTCACAACATTTTATATCCACTTAACAAATTTCAACAATTTAAATTTTTTTTCCTCAATTTTCGGGCCATTAATTGTGATTTATAAAAATTCGAAAAGGTCATTCAAAATGTGGAATACTCATCAGCAATAACAAATCCATTGAATATACAAATGTGTCATCATTTGAGGAAAAAAATTGAATTCGAAATGTCATTCCTGTTAGATACCTGAACAGTATTTATTTCTGTCTTTTTTATTCAAATTTACAATATCTTATATCTATTTGGGGAAGTACAAATATTTCACGTTTGAAGCCACTCATGAAATTACAAAATAAAACAAAGTGCATTTTTAATTTACCTAATTCAAATCAACTGTGAATCTATACAAACCTAAAGACTTCCTGAATTTAGTTTCATTATATAAACTCAAAATTTGTTGTTTTATTCATTTTGTCAGGAAGGAATTGAAAATATCAAATTTGAATTTTAATGAAGTTAATACTATTCACGCCCATGAAACAAGGCAATTTAATTTATTGATAGCAAGTAATTATAAGTCAAACTTTGGTAAACAACCAATATTCCATAATGGAATAATTTTATATAACTCCTTACCTAATGAGTTGAAAAAAATAGAAAAAGTTAAAAATTTTGAAATCAAATTAAAGAAATATCTGCTCAGTAAACTTTAATTCCATATCTACTAATCATTCACAATTTGATTACTTGTAATGGATTATAATATTTTCATTTTATATTTTATTATAAATTTCTTTATGGAACACAATAATTGTGCAATTATTATTGTCTCGATTTATTATGTTATATGTATGCTTTGTTGTATATATCCCTATAATAAACAATAATGTTTCTTGGGGTAATGAAGACAATCAATCAACACACTCTCCATGTTGAAAAGAGACAACTTTCATGCACTCAAATGAAAATAAAATCACTACACCGGAGATAATTTTTAGTTTTTCACTTTTTATAAATGGAGTTCTGTTTTTTATCACTCGAATAAACCGTTCGCGTTGAAATCTAATACGAGACTGATGGCCGATTGGTTTGATTCTAATGACTAATTAGTTACGTCATCCTTTCATCCGGTTGAATCCCAAACTAGTATGACTAATATCGATATCGATAGGAGATATACGGTGTGGGGTGAAAAGAACTTCAATATACATTGTAACCGTTGAAGTCCGCATCATATAGAATTTTTTTAACTATTTAGTTTGTGCCAATTAGGATTTCATGAACTGTTCTTACTTTGGAAAAAGTGCAAAATGAAGTTGATGATTGTTGCAAATCAACAACTGTCGAATTAGACATTATAATAATTAGACATTCTTTGTCAGAAAATCACAAAGTCAAAAAATCAATCTTTCGAACAAAAAAGACTTTGAAGTGTCAAATGAATTCATTATTAGTAGAAGAGAAATAACTATTGAAATTTCCTGAGGCATATCGATCTTCGGTTTAAATTTTCATAAACTATCGTATTCTTGTTCACCTGTACCAATTTCAAGTACCTAACTTTTGATCCTGTTTTGTAATCAGCTCAGCAGAAAAATCCGAAAATCGAAAAAAAGGGATTTCCAATCAAAAAAGTTACTCATGAAGTCATCACACGAAGTTAGGGTAAAACTGCATTTAGCATGCGATGGTTTTTTTTTCGAAAATTTTGTTTGGTACTCACGTATTTTTGTCTGAAAAACACGAATTTGACAATGATAATGTGAACAAACCACTATTTATCGAGATTTATAGAGTATTTACGGTAACCTGTCTCTTTCATTCCTACTCGTGTTGTTTAATGGTGGATTGCTGTTTGCGTTCTCTTTTATCTCATCATTAAAGTACTTTACATTTGTTTCTCTCATCTTAACAGGCAGAAAAGTGAAGACATAAGTTCATTGTCTTTGTTTATGTGAAATATCTATTCATTTGGCGTGTTTTGTTTTATAAAAAGGATGGATTTATTGTGTCGCCTTTGGATGCATCAAGAACGAGCAAGACAAAAGGAAATTGTCATTCCATGGGTGGGTAAGTTGAATATTGTTCAGATTTTTGGAAAATATAGTGAAATGATTATCAGTTAGGTGTACAATATGTACAATGTTCCCAGTCTCAGAATATGCGAAAGAATATGTTCAAAAACTATACCTATATATATTATTTGTCAAAGTTAAATACTTCCATGACTTCTTCATATACATATTAGGTAATATTATTTGTTGCAGTTTTCCATTCAGACATTCTTGAATTATGGATCAAGGCAGTTCGTAGAGAGAGTTGGACTCCATCTAAAACCCAGCAAGCTTTGTGGAGAGCATTTCCTGCCAACTGATTATTTATTCAGACTTACCATCAGGTACTGCTAGGTTATTGAAACCAGATGCTGTACCCAGTATATTTCCATTTCCTAAGCATTTGTCACCAAAAAATAATGATACTTGAAGGAAAATAAGAAAACTCATAGGTTTCACCTCTTTAAAATAAAAAAACCAGCTAGTAATTTATTTTCAGGATGCATTTGTGGAAGTTTATAACATTGGGTCCTAAGGAAGAAGTTTGTCATATTATGGACTCTAGGTACCTATGACTTCCAGCTCCCAAGTTTTGAAGTTCATCAATAATGAAACCCAAACTGTTCCTTTGGAGAAGGATGTTGTATTGAGAATTGTATTTTTTAAATTTCTAATAGGGATATGTTTGTAGGCAGTGACCTAATGGTAAAATAGGAACCTATGGAAATTATGCTCAAAATGGACCTTATAGGTAGTCAATACCATTCAAGAACCTCTTTTCAAATTTTTCCTATCGTTTTTTTTTCTTCTGATAGTGCTATAAGACATTGTGCTTCGCTCACCCTGTACAATATATTGTGACATTTGAATGAAAATATATAATTTCAATTTTGTATTCATTTGACTTCCTAATCCTGTAAGAATAAAACTGAAATTTCATTTTTAAGTCAATAAAAAAATCAATAATAATTTTTTAATGATAATTGATTGCAACATTATCATCTTTCCTATATGAATAACAAATAATGCGAGCGCTTCCCATTAGCGAACATAAGATAGAGAGAGATAGGTAACCGTAAACACTGCGGGTTGCCTGAAAAATATTTTTGCCTCACGCGTCGTTCACAGAGGGTCCCTTCCAGTTGTTTATATTGAGTTCATTGACTGACACTGGCCAGTGTAACAACATGAAAAGAAGTAACAGAAGATGAAGATACTAGGTTATGCTGTTTTGTTTGTGTTTTTCCCACTGTTTTTCCGCGAACTTGGGTTTATTTTGATCGTGATTTTAGGTGATTTTTATGTATATCTTCCAGATCTCCATAATTTGATAACGGTCCCAATCCCACTGATTTGATCATCAGGTAGTACCTTAGACCACCTTAGACCTTAATTATATATAGTTCTAATAAAAGTGATAGCCTGTGTCGAGGTCTGTTTTGTGGTCATTATGGAGACCAAACGGCTCTCAATGAATACCTCACTGAAAAATGCTAGAATTTTCGATGAGGTGAGTAAAGGAATTAGTGCAAATTATTAACTCTGTAGTCCATAGTAGGAGGTACCCTACCTAGATGGTGAAGGTAATATTTTAATGATTTCAGGATTCATGGGAATCAGACAATGTTGGATTTATGATAAAGAAAGAGCCAAATGTTGACGATGTACTAAATCATAATGAAGAAGCAAAACATAGCTTCAAAAATATAGTAGTGAAGCAAGAACCAGAGGAAGTAAAGGAATTTAAAAAATCTGCATTAGTGGAACATGATGTACAAGTTGAGCAGAATATTGAGAAAGAACATGATTGTTCTTCTGAAAAAATTAAAACTATAAAAAATGAATGTGATCAGCCAGATTATGAGGAAACTGGTGTCAAGCTAGATGTAACCCCAATGAAACAATGCTTTGTAAATGAAGATACAAACCCTTCCCCATTTAATAAAGAAATGTTCAAAAATTTCTCTCTTGATAGTCCAGGTCTCAAAAACAGTGTGTTTGGTCCAATCAAATCAGAATTTGAGGTGGATGTAAAAAGATCTGTCTTTAAAAGTGATAGCACCAGTAGTGATGAATCACAAGAAAGTGAGCAAGAAACTGAAGAATTCCAAAAAAGGAGACCAATTAGAGAAAGGCTTGGACCAAAGGTGGATGATAATGAAATACCTACTAAATCTTCTGTTAAAAGGAGACTTGGGTCTGAGTTGGAGCATAATACTTTGCCCATGTATGTCCACAAAAAATGCATGGCTATTCATTATATTCATGTATATATTCTATTTCAGCAAGAAACCTAGAAGGGAGATAGAATCAGATCCAGAAGTGTTATTTAGGAGACAAAAACAAATAGATTATGGAAAAAATACACTGGGATATGATAACTACATAAAAATTATTCCTAGGTTAGTCACTTAGTTGTAGAAAAGTCACAAAGGATATGTTTCCATTGGAGTATGATGATCTAACCAGGATCTAAGATTTTATATTGACATGAATCAACTTCAACCTTGACTGCAACCAACATCAGGAATCAATAAAATAAATGAAACTGGTGGTCATTATATTTTATAATTCAGATTTTTATTATCAAGTATAATCATTTTTCTTTTCTCATGAGTGAATTGGCATTTAGCAAAGGGATATATGTACCATGCAGAATTGATTGATGAGGGCTAACATTATTTATTGTTTACCAAAACATGCTACAGAGTTGGTAGAACTGATAAATATACTTCATATTTTTATGTGATTTGGCATCTTCCAAATATATCTTCTTTTTGATCATTGTGAGAATTTGATTGGTTGATTGTCTTTATTACACCAAGAAACATTATTGTTTATAATCAAATTCACTTTATTTTCCTTTTTGGGCAGCAAGTACACTGTATTAGGCTGGGTATTAGGTTAGTTGTACACTCGGTTGTACATTAATACATTAATACAATGAAGTATGAATGAATAAATGATGAATGCATAAATGATAGATGAGAGAATGAAGCTACAAAAAATATGGATACAATTGAAAGTAAAAGTAGAGACATAGATGCATATCAGAGGAGGGCATCTCTGCTCTTCATAAGTATAAAGAAATCTTCCACATTGTAGAGAGGATTCGCTGTTAAAAAATGTTTCAGCTTTGTTTTGAACAAGTTGATTCTCAAGTCACGAAAATCAGAGGGCAAAGCTTGACACCTATGTCATCACATCTTTCTAAGCATGTGAGGGGAAGTATCAAATTGTTGTTTCTCCTGGTGTTGTGTGAGTGAACATCAGAGTGTACCTTATAAGTATTTAAGTTGCTCTTCACTTCTACTAATTTCTCATATACAATTAGAGAGTAAAGTGTCATTAATTGGAGTTCCATAAACAGTGGTTTGCTGGAGACCTCTCTATTCACATTCAATATACTTTTTATGGCATGTTTTTGTGTCAGAAAAAGTTTATGTAGTTCATAGATGAAAAACCCAAAGTCATCTCCACAACTTTTATTGAAATGATCAAAGATCATCAATGGTACATGTTTCGGGCTTATATAAGCCCATCATCAGCCGATAACACTGGACCCAAGTTGCCCAACTGGCATTGTTTAATCTTTGGAAGAAGTCCATGGTAACTCAAAGTGGAGTGGTGTAGTTCATAGATGAAAAACCCAAAGTCATCTCCACAACTTTAATTGAAATGATCAAAGATCATCAATGGTACATGTTTCGGGCTTATATAAAGCCCATCATCAGCCGATAAAACTGGACCCAAGTTGCCGACTGGCATTGTTTAATCTTTGGAAGAAGTCCATGGTAACTCAAAATGGAGTGGTATATTTCATAGATGAAAAACTCAAAGTCATCTCCACAACTTTCATTGAAATGATCAAAGATCATCAATGGTACATGTTTCGGGCTTATATAAGCCCATCATCAGCCGATAACACTGGACCCAAGTTGCCCAACTGGCATTGTTTAATATTTGGAAGAAGTCCATGGTAACTCAAAATGGAGTGGTATATTTCATAGATGAAAAACTCAAAGTCATCTCCACAACTTTAATTGAAATGATCAAAGATCATCAATGGTACATGTTTCGGGCTTATATAAGCCCATCATCAGCCGATAACACTGGACCCAAGTTGCCCAACTGGCATTGTTTAATCTTTGGAAGAAGTCCATGGTAACTCAAAATGGAGTGGTATATTTCATAGATGAAAAACTCAAAGTCATCTCCACAACTTTCATTGAAATGATCAAAGATCATCAATGGTACATGTTTTGGGCTTATATAAGCCCATCATCAGCCGATAAAACTGGACCCAAGTTGCCCGACTGGCATTGTTTAATCTTTGGAAGAAGTCCATGGTAACTCAAAATGGAGTGGTGTAGTTCATAGATGAAAAACCCAAAGTCATCTCCACAACTTTTATTGAAATGATTAAAGATCATCAATGGTACATGTTTCGGGCTTATATAAGCCCATCATCGGCCGATAAAACTGGACTCATGTGGCCAGTCGGGCAACTTGGTTCCAGGCACAAAATACTCAACAATGGGCGTGTACACCTTAGTAGAACTTTTAACTCAAACCATGTTTATAATGATCCTTTTATACATAAATAATGATTGACGACATAATTCGATCGAAAAATTAACTGGAATGTTTTATTTTTGAACATAAAAATAATAGTACCTTCTGAAAACGGACCCTCTTATGACGTAGAAACCTCATCTCGCCATAGTTAAAAGAAAACACCAAACGCCCGACGGAGACTGAGGCAACTGATATATTAATTCTTTCAACTGTGATCTCGTGCTAATTCACTCTGTCAGAAATCATGTATCAGTCATCTCTGCCTGGAATAGTCTTGTTTCAGTATTAGGGTTTAGACGTCACATCATCGCCTCGTTCTCAGAGGTCCGAAAAATCGGGGATTTCAATAATTTTTTATAAAACGTAGGGAGCTCACAGCAAGAAACGGTTTGCGGTAGTGAGCTAGTTTGGGTGAGTTCTATCGAATTATGAAATAAAATTTTTTTGTGATATAAGCCCATTGTTGAGTATTCTGTGCTTCAGGGTTATTCTGCAAAATTTTGGTATTCATGACTTCAACAGTGACCTCAAGTTTTAGTAGCTCCAACTGGTGAGAGTGAAAATTTTAGGCCTCATTACAGGTTCACAATCTGTGATTAATTCAAAATATTAAACACAGTACTATGCCAACACAGGTTTTCAAACACATCACTCTGGGTTACTGTTTAATTTACATGGTTTAATAAGTCATGAAAACTCACCTGAAAGACAAGGCATTGATCTGTCAATTTCGACATCAATGATGAGATGAGTTGTATAAAAAAGTATGGTATGTAGCATGTGTATAAACTCCTCTATACACTTGTTTATTGAACACGTGCTCCACTTGCTAAGCTGTACTTGTGTTCAAAATACTCATTACTAAGAGGACATTTGAACACAATATAAAATAGGTGGCGAAAATTCGACTATATTGTGTAGAACCCGAGGTAGAACCCCATGTTGAATAGTTTGTGTGACAAGGCATTTTAATATTAACACTGTTGTTGACTAATATGCAAGAGAGATGTGATGTGGAGGTGGTGGTGATTGATTTGACCGACCGGTTTTTTCAATCGCCGATATTTGATATCTTGAACTTGCATAATTTGTAATCTGGAAATTATCAACATTTTTTTTTCATTTCCAGTAGAGAATATTGCTAGTTTTGTATTGGTTCAAACTGTTCCTAAATCTAGTCTCCCAGCTTCTCTTTCAGTGTATTGCATAATTTACCCTCTATACTAAATATTTATAATGGCAGGTAATCTGGAAAGCTTGAACCATATGGCACTGATGAGATTGGAGGTCATGCCAGCTTCGTTTTTTTTTCGCAGTAGCGGCATCTTTTCACTTAACATTTTAAAAAATCGTTACTAAGATATCTCAATGATATACAGTGTCATCCATGAAGTTGGTATCATATGGAAAAAACTTTTATTAATAATCTATTTTGAAATTCGACTTGGGCATTCAGTTTTGCTTCAAAAAGGATGGAAAATTGCTTACTCGGTCGGAGTCGAGGTCGGAGTCACGTGATTTTCGCTACATGTTAAAACTTACAGTTCATCAAATCGCTGAAAATAGGCTTATTTGTTTGACGAGAAAATTTTTTTGTATTCCAATTTAAACATGTGTCTCGATTTTGAACATTCTATTGCAATTTTTGATTCTTGATATTATTTCATTTCTTCTAATTGTAACTTCGACAAAACTGTCAATTTAAAATTGATTTTTGGATTTCAAGTGCGCTCTCTCAAGGGTACGGGACCCCTTTTTCCTGTTTTACAACCAAAACTGGTTATTAAGAGCACCTTGTGTGCTCGTCAAGTTTCCCTTCTGGGACATTTGATTTCACAAGTGCGCGTTCTTAGGGCACGGGGCCCTTCATTTTTAATGAAAGCCCGTTAATTCCTATAAAACTTATTTATTTTTATTATCAATCACGATATTATGATGAGAGATATCGGCAACCTTTTTTTTTTTTTTTTTTGTTTTTTTTTTTTTGTTTTCGTTTTATCGCCGACCTTTCTACGGTGTTCCAATCATGTCAAAGAGTGAGTGTAGCGTCACCCACCAAGCGAATGGCTCTTCTCTGGATGGAATCTAAGAGCATCAGCGTATGTTTTGGTGCTGAACCCCATATGTGGGAACAGTATTCTAGAACAGGCCGTATCTGCGCTTTGTAGATCATGGGAAGCTGTTGAGGTGTAGAGTAGCTTTTCGCACGGAACAAGAATCCGAATTTTTGTGAAGCAGCTTTTGCGATGGATCTAACATGATTATCCCATGAAAGAGTGTTGCTGATGGAAATACCGAGCATAGATATGGTGGGCTTGGTGGGGATAGTGGAGCCAGACATTACAATATCGGGCATACTGAGTTCCGCCTTTCTAGAGAAAATACAGGCTTGAGTTTTTGTGGCGTTGAATTCAACTAGGTTGTTATGGTTCCCCAGGCTGTGATTTCAGCAAGATCTTCATTGACAGCATTGACCTGCCTGCGCCGTGAGTTCTTAGTTTCCTGGGAAGAAATGGGAATTCTGGAAGAGAACGCAGTATGGAGGGTACTATCATCGGCAAAGCTGTGGATGGGGCAAGTTGTTACTCCCAACAGATCATTGATATGAAGAAGGAATAATGTTGGTGCCAAAATTGATCCTTGTGGAACGCCGGAATTGATGTCAATGGTATCAGACAATACACCGTCCAACTCCACGTGAAGCGATCTGCCTGAAAGAAAACTCGATAAGAGATGGCATAGCTGAGGTGGTAAGCCGTATGATGGTAGTTTGTGGAGGAGTCCTTCGTGCCAAACACGGTCGAATGCTTTCGATATGTCCAACGCGACAGCTAGAGATTCCCCGTGTTTTTCTAATGAAGCTTGCCATAAATGGGTGACGTAGGCAACTAGATCTCCAGTAGATCTTCGGTGGCGAAAGCCGTATTGTCTATCATTGATGATTCCTGAGCTCTCCAGATATTTGATAAGCGCAATATTGATGGCTTTCTCCATCACTTTGTAGATTACTGATAATAGGGCAATGGGCCTGTAGTTGTTGGGCAGGTTCTTGTTCCCTTTTTTGGGGATTGGTTGGACTCTAGCTGTCTTCCAGCATGATGGAAAAATACCCGACCTGTACGAGACGGTAAACAACTTGCAGAGAATCGGTGTTAATTCTGGTGCACATTTTTTAAGGATAATAGGTGGAATTCCATCAGGACCGTTAGCCTTATTCGTTTTGAGACCGAGCAAAATTCGTCTGATAGTGCGTTGACGGAAGACGATTTCGGGCATTCGACTCTCAACGGGTGGAATGTCTGGAGGCACTTTTCCTTGTGAATCTAAAGTAAAGTTTGCTGCGATTATCTCTGCAGAAATATTTGCTTTCTCCTGCGATGTTGTTCCTAATGTGCCGTCGTTTCAAAAAACATAATGTTCACCTCCATTAACTTCTAAAATACGGCTGAAGATGGACTTTTATAAGTCCGAAACATGTCCCGTTGATTAACCACATCATTATTAAAGTTGTGGAGATGACTATGAGCTTTCCTTCCTCCTTTTAAAAGTTCCACTCCACTTTGAGCAAACATGGACTTCTACCAGAGATTAAATATTTTTTGCTCCTGAATGATAGACAGTACTTGATTTTCATCCAACATAACAGAAGTTTGAAGCGGGGATTATTTTTTTAAGAAAATCATATTCATGTTGATGATTAGTGATTAGTAGTTAGTAGCATGATAAAGCTTCTAGAATGAAATAGTCTTATCGGAGTCAAATATTTTCAATATTACAGCCATTTCGTAGAAATTGAAAAAATATCAAAAACTAAAAGCTGTCAGAGAACATTCAAATTCGAGAAACATAATATATTTGAAATCGGAATAGAAACAACTTTTCTCAGTAACCTTTCTTGAAATCCAAACAAATAATAAGCTTATTTTTATTCTTTGAAGCAAAACTACGCCCAAGTCGAATTTTGAAATACATTTTTAATAGAAAGTTATTCCCATATGGTGCCGACTTTATGAAGGACCTTGTACATATTGTGTCTTTGTGTTCACAGCACATTGTAACCTCAACAACACTAGTGCCACCATGTGGGGCAATATTAGACATGAACATCAAGTGAGCCTAGAGCCTCTAAAAATCAAAAACAAAGATTCAAGAATATCCGATATGAAAGGTTTTTGTTGAATATTGAACCAATGGATTTCTTTTAGGACGGAAAGGACACAAGATGATCCTCAGACGCCAAATAAATTCGTGAAGTATTCTAGAAGAGGCTGGGATGGATTGGTCAAACAGTGGAGATTGCGGTTGCATAAATATGATCCTGAGGAAAGCTGAGTATATTTTTATTTGACAAGAATACCTTTTAAGTTCATTTTTAATTATTTTAACCCTACAAACATAAACATTTTTAATTTATAACAATATTTTTGAGCAACTGTTTTGTTCTTCAATTTGATTCATTCTTGAACCCTTAAGTGTAATATATAATTAAAAATAAATTTATTCATCTGGTTCAGGAATATTCAGTTGATGTAAGTTATCTGGATTGAAATTGTTTCTTCTGTTATGTTCCAAAGGACGAAGAATCTTCCCATGCTGTAAACTCTCCATGATTTCTCGTGCTCTCCTTATTATATGTATGTCAATACCACAAGCCTCAGCAACGTCAATGGCAAAACTCTCAGAAATGCCTATAAATATTAAAGAGTGAGGGAGAAAGTAAGAGAGAGATTTATTCAATAATTCAGAAGAAAAGGACGTACATCCCATTAAAAAATAGTTCATAAATTGAAATACCTTCCACTAATCTGAAGAGAAAGCATAGTCCCCCGGTCTCTTTTCTATGTTCCATTTTCTGATACAGAATCAAAGGCGTTTTCGGTAAATGGGAAACGATTTGTTGGAAATGTGTGGCGACCAAAATATGAGGACAACCGTCCATCCTATCAAGGAAGTATCGCAAAAGTCCTGCTAACAGGCACACTCCATCGACTTCTGTAGTGCCCTTTCCAAATTCGTCCATCAGAATTAGCGAACACGGTTGGATATTATTTAGAGCACTAGTCATCTAAAAATGTCATGACATATATATGTATCGATACACACTCTCGATTTCATCAGGCTGAATAATAAAAGTTCACGCAAGCCTTGTGAAGAGCATTTCAACTGCTCTCTTTTTGATTTGAGTTGTGTTTTACGCAGTGTTTACGTAATGTCGGTATAAATTATGGCAGGATCAATCATTTATTTCTTAAATCATCACTCGTATACCTTTCAATTTCATATTCTTCTAGAATTTTTCGGTCGATTTTTAGGTGCTAAAATCATCAATTATGCCACGGTAATTTTCAAACGGATAGAAATTTACCGCGAGTAAAATCTGACCTCACGATTTCGTAAGTAGGGGCAGACCATAGCACATTTGCCGTGTGTTGAAATACGATTGGGAACTTTAGAAATATTACTTATTCAAACATTCATGAATTCTCAATTATATATTGGTAATATTCCTGTTTAGCAATACAAAATCAATTGTCTCAAAATGTTACCCTATGATTTGTGGCTTATTGCATATAATACATTTGTATAAATAGTCATTATACAGGGTGTAAATTTGAAAACTTTCAATGCGAATATCTCGCGAAATAAAAAAGTTAGAAGAACGCCGCTTGGCAAAAATGCTAAAGAGTTAAGGGGAACTAGAACCACCATATTTCAGTGAAGGGATGAGTCACCCTGTCAGCGCAACACACCCCAACTTTGAAATGTCAAATGGCACTACCTCTTTTGTGATACCTCAAATGAACGGTCTCAGTCAGTAGTATTCACCTGTACAAACATTTTTTTTTCACCCACTACAGGGTGTACGAAAAACATTAATTCGAGGGTCTAAATTTGAAAACTTTCAATGCGAATATCTCGCTAAATAAAACAGTTAGGAAAACGCCGTTTGGCACAAATGCTACAGAGTTAGGGGGAACAAGAACCACCATACTTCAGTAAAGGGATGAGTCACCCCGTCGGCGCGACACACTCCATCTTGGAAATGTCAAATGGCACTACCTCTTTTGTGATACCTCAAATGAACGGTCTCAGTCAGTAGTATCTACCTGTACGAGACTTATTTTCCACCCACTACAGGGTGAAGTCGAATAAAATAAAATGCAGAATGCCGATATATTCCAAGAGATGTGTTCCAAAATGTTAGAATAGCATTTGAACATCGATTATGCTATTGCTTGCAACAGAATGGAATGCATTCTGAACATCTGATCAAATAAAATATCCTTTTAACACAATTCATTTTATTTTATTCGACTTTATATTTTTCGTACACCCTGTAGTGGGTGGAAAATAAGTCTTGTACAGGTGAATACTACTGACTGAGACTGTTCATTTGAGGCATCACAGAAAAGTTAGTGCCATTTGACATTTCAAAGTTGGGGTGTGTCGCGCCGACGGGGTGACTCATCCCTTGACCGAAATATGGTGGTTCTAGTTCCCCCCAAGTCTTTAGCATTTTTGCCAAACGGCGTTTTTATAACTTTTTTCTTTCGCGAGATATTCGCATTGGAAGTTTTCAAATTTACACCATGTATTAATTCACACTAGAGGTCATTTGAAGCGGCGAACGTGACAACACGGCGCACACGACTTGTGGGCGTGGTCTTGTCCCTTCTCAGCATTCAGCACAATGTTGCCAAGTCTCCAACATTTATATGATATTTTGTTATGGAGTATAAGAAATATTTGAACATGCTGGTTGCTTGAAAAATTCAAGAATGAACTATAATATCATTGGTTCATCCTATTATGTTTAATTCAATGACAGGACTCTTACATCTCTTTGATAACTTGATTATAATTGGTGACTTGACAACCTTGTTTCGTGAGTGGGAATGGAAGATCATCCGACCAATAACGAAACAGCATAAAAGCTGACGTCACCATTTATTCGACCTATCGCCAAATGGTGGCCATGAAGGTACGTTTGAAATGAGCTCCGAAATTCAACAATTTCGAACAACGCATACACTCATTATTTACATAAAAACGTGTGAGAAGTGTTGCAAAAATTAATTTAGGTCCCTAACGACACAGTGGAGTAATTGAATGCCAATAATTCATTATAAGTCCACTCGCCCATTCTAAAATACAATTGACTTTTTCTGAAATTCGATTGACTATTCTGAAATACAATTTATTCTTTCTGAAATACAACTGGAAAAGGTGTAATATGATTCAATTTGTTAATTTCACTTGCTTCCCGTGTTCCAAGATCCATATAATAGACAGGTTGAAATATTATTCGGCAACCAGTCTAACATCATCTAAGAGCTCAACATAGTATATTTCGCCTCAAATAAATAATAGTTTTAATATCAATACCCCATCTGATAGCAGCTGATAGCACAGTATATCAGAAGCTTCTAGAGACAGGACGCAACGAATAATCAATGTGGTGAGATTTTCGTCTAGCCTCAATTTTATACATGCTTAGGTTGACTGATCGTCGATCGATGCTCACTGTCAATGAATAGCAAATGGATAAACACACTGCTTTGGCATCTATCACAGCTCCACAGCTATCGCCCTTATGGTATTAGCGGTCTACTCCTTTTTCAGTTGTCTAGTCACTTGTATTTCAGAAATCATCAATTGTATTTCAGAATAGTCAATTGAATTTCAGAAATTGTAATTTGTATTTCAGAAAATGTGAAACGATGGACGCTTTCTGAAATTCAATTGACAATTCTGAAATACAATGGAAACTTTCTGAAATTTACTTGGTTATTCTGAAATACAATTGACGCTTTCTGAAATTGAATTGACTATTCTGAAATACAATTGAAGCCATCTCAATTCAATTAATTGACTATTCTGAAATACAATTGATACTTTCTGAAAGACAAGTGACTATTCGCGAGATTCACGAAGTGGGCGACATCTAGGTTACATAATACGAACTTCAAACTGGGGGAAAACAAACTGTTGTCTATGGATAAAGTGCATAGACTACCTACATTGCATTCAGCTTGCTGTAGCTGCAGTCAAACTTGTCAATGACATAAAGTGTTGGCACTGTTGGTAGTGATGATGGCTGAGTTGGTTAATTTTTTTACATCATTACATCTTTATTAGTTTAGTGAACAGTGAACAGGTGAAGAATTGGAGATAGTTTAAACAATTCGAACCAATTATGACGAGCAAATCAATTGACATATAAAAGAACAGCTACAACATGTTTACAATACCCAGATTGTCCTGCTTTGCGTGAACAAATACAAATCCATTGTTCTACAGGAGTTCCTCTGGATCCCAACTTCAATTTTACTTCATGTGGGGAAGATTTCATCGCCGAAGTTTGTAGACAAAGTGCAAAAATGTGCCTTTTGTTGAAGTCTTATGCCTCACACAAATTCACATGATTAGCACGGAGAACTGCTTCTCCTTCCACTACTGGTCGGCTTTTTCTGTCTAAATAGGGCAAAATATCTGCCAAAAGAACATCTACCAACAGGCATTATTAGCGTTATCGACCGGATATTGACAATTAATGTCAAGAAATATAAAAACATCACTCTTATCAATACACAGTACACAATCTAATGGCACTAAGGGGATTGAGTGAGGATTGAGTTTGTTTTCCCCCAGTTTTGACGTAGCTTTGACATGGAACGATGAAAACCGAGCGCCACCTGGTGACATTGATTCCCGCGAATAATGAAATACAATAATTGATGCTTTATGGAATTGAATTGACTTTTCCAGTGGTGCGTTTGAATACGTACTATGTGGAGTAGGGTTTACTCATTTGCGTTCGAAATTTGTTAGATTGTGTATATCTTACTCTGTGACTGTGACTGTCGTTCGTGAATACTGGAGTTTTTAACGCCGTGTTAACTCTTGTAACCTCACAAAATAGGTGGGTAAATTTTACTCCAGAGATTTGACAAAGTTATCACAGGGCGAACAAGGATGAAGAAGTTTGTTTTGTTTGTTTCAAGTTAGGTTAGGTCCATTTGAAACGCAGTTTATAATTGTTTTTATATCTTCAAAGCATTCAAACTAAGGCACTAAATTGATTTTTGCAAGATATCAAGAAGATGTTAGAGTACTGTCGTTGAATAAAACATAATAGGAGGAACATATGATATTATAGTTCATTTTTGACTTTTTCGAGCGACCAGCCTGTCCAAATATTTCTTATTCTCCAAAACAACATATCATGTGAATGTCGGAGACTTGGCAACATTGTGCTGAATGCTGAGAACTAACAAGACCACGCCCACAAGTCGTGCGCCGTGGTTGTCACGTTCACCGATTCAAATGCAATCTAGTGTGAATTAATATGATTATTTACACAAATTTATTATAAGCCTGGCGGTAAAAAATCGACCGTAAAATTCTTGAAAAATATTGCAGTGATGATTCTACAATAGTCCAATAGAAGATATATCTTCTCCTTTATGAATTGAACCTGATCTGACTGAACAAAACTTGTTAACTTGACAAACATGTTCATGTCAATCTCAGATGTCAATGAACTAACTCAAAATTCCGCTCGAATACCATGCACAAGGAATAGTAATTAACTCGAGAGTAAACTGATGAAACTTTCCACTGAGTTTACTCTACTCCGAGAGTTGATAAACGAACGCACGCCTGAAATTCAACTGGAAAAAATGTAGACAGTAAGTTTTTCCGGTGATTTTACCTGGGAAATGTCAATCATGAAAGCTGACAGTCGCACTGATGCCGATTCGGTAGTTTGCAGCCTCGAATGGATGCTCTTCAGCATCCCGATGTTGGCAGCCTCGGCAGGAACGAAGGACCCGACGTGGGCCAGAAACATCACCAGAGCGATCTGTTTCAGATACATGCTTTTGCCGCTGCCGTTCGGGCCTGTTATTATCTTCATTCGGCTGTATTTGCCGCCCGAATAGAAATTGTTTGATTGTATTTGGCCGATGAGGTGTTCCATCAGGGGGTGTCTGCTGTTTTGGATTTCGAAATAGTTTTGCTGGTTCAACGTTGGTCTGATGTACATGTTTTGCGAGGCAGTGAGGGCCATCGATATCAAGCTAAAAAACAGTTGATCATACACTATTCCCTAGAAATATATTGCAGCTCAGAGTGGAGTGAAAATAGTTCGGAAGGGAAAAATCTATCCACACAAAGTTATTGAGTGTTTCCTAAGTAAAGATGAAAACCAATCGAAAAATAACGCTCATTAATAGGTTCAATAAACGTTTTTATCCACTGAGATGATATTGAAAATAATAAATATCATTGAAAGGTAATTGATTATCTACTGTTTAAGAGAGAAACTACGCTACTGGGGACAGATTGATAGTTATTTAACCAACTAGTATGTTATCAAGAGCGATTCATTTATTCATATTAATATATGAGTTTGAGATTTTTTCTTTGACTTCATTTCTAATGTAATGAAGAGAATTTGATTCACAAATTAATTATTTATCTGGAAACTTCTAACAATCACTCAGTAGCCATGACAGTCAACTTTGTCACTGACATTAGTGTCATTTGACATTTGTCGAAATTATCAGTAAGGAAAATAATAGATTGTTTTATTAGGATCGAAAGTGACACTTCGTTTGACTGAAGAATTCTGCGTTTGCGAGGCGAAGTGTTAGCGAAGCCGAGCGAATGTCAAATTTGCGATCAAACAAAGTCGCTCTTGATCCGAATGAAACAAGCTATTTTTTCTGCGAACAAAAGAATCAACATCTAACTAAAATAAATATAAGTGAAGTAATTACCAAAATGTGACTCACTTGACAGGTTATTATAATAATATGAGTGAGTATATAAGAACAAGACCTCAGACTACTTCAATTTATTACAATTTGTGTTGACATGAATCATGTCGACAGAGACTACAGACTCGAATTCAATACTATTTGAAACGTGGATGACGTGCCATAAGGATGCGATGCAACAAATAATTCGTATAGTGAGGATTATTCTACCTGTATAAATGATTTGTACATATCTTCGCACAAAACTCAATGGCCAGTGGGTAGCGTGCCGGCCTGATATACTATCGGTTGTGGGTTCGAATCCCGAAATCCACAAACTGTTTTTTGTTTCTTTTTTCTCGAAGTGTTCAATTGAATAAAAGATTGTGGATTCGTTCACAGATCAGGTTTATTCAATTCTCAAGAATGTTCGAATTGTAGTTCCAATATAAATATCATAAATTGACTATGTAATTGTGTTTGAGTTTCTTGTTGCATATATAATGAATACTAACCTATGTTGGTTATTCTTGATGACCTAGTACAGCCTTCTTAGTTCCTAGGAGTCGGAGTTCAACTTTAGCTCCTAGGAACTAAAAGTGTTGCCTATAGCAACATACCTATTTTTGTGTCAGTAATAGAAACATGAACTTCAAGGCTAAGTTTCCAATCAAAATAGACGACTTCTGAATCGGTTGCAGAAAAATTCCTTCTCTGTTAAAAGTCGAACGACGTGGTGTATGTTTGGTTGCCTATACCATAATCGTTCGTTTAATGAGGAATTGAAAGCATATTGGGCATATGCAGCATTAATTCTTACCAGTCCATCAATCCAATTATTTTTATAGGTTCTCTGATGTCTTTGTTATATTTCAGTATGAAACCAGATAATCTTCGTAATATTCTGTTTTCGTGGTCTATTATCTCTGCATTTATGTCGCCCAGTCTTTTATCCAGCTCTAGATAAAAAAATACAATGCTCGTAAGTGAAATGAATGTTACTTTTTTGAAAAAAAAATTATGCTACAGTATGTAAAATGATCTCCCGACTACGAGAATCTTTGTTGCAAAATGCGAAAATCAACATATTTGAACGTATCAACCCTTCCAAGGGTTTTATTTTCCTTGATATCTATCCAAAACTTATAATCTACCATCCTCTACAACACCTCTATTTTTGACTAGAAAAAACGAAAAGCATCCTTACAGGGGATTGTTTCATCAAATCGCCGTGTCACAGAAATAACAGGAGACCATTTTAGACCGATTTCAACCCCATTTGAGCCTAATAAACACTCAAATATATTTGTTTCTGTTACGGAAAAAAGTTTATTTCATCTCTGTTGACAGGTTATAAAATGTCACTTTTCATAAATTATTTTTTTCCGAAAAATAAGCCAATAAAACCATCTCCGAGAAAGAAGTCCTTTTATCTTCCATTCGACTTCGCGGTTACGTAAATCACTAAACAATCAATAAAATCCGCAATTTTTCGAAATCAAATCACAGAATTCGACTGACAGATATTTTATTAATTCAAACGAATGATGAATATGCCTGCAACGCAGGTGTCATTACTGTTAAAAACTTTTTTTTCTGTCACAGAAATAACAGGAGACCATCTTAGACCGATTTCAACCCCATATGAGCCTAATAAACACTGAAATATATTTGTTTTTGTGACGGGAATAGGTTTATTTCATCTCTGTTGACAGGTTATAAAATGTCACAGAAAAAAATAGTGTGTTATACACAGGCAAAATATTAGATTTTAGCTCACGGTTTGTTGCCTCTTTCGTGGAGCTAAAATCTACTACTTTTTTCCCTTATATAATAAATAACTATTATACACACCAAAACACATGGGATTCTTATAGTGGATTGTCCCCCCAATAGTGAACTAAAAAAAAAACAGAAAAGTATATAGTAAATAGAATAGAAAGAATAGAATATAATTAATCCCAGTGGGTCAAAAAAATACAAGGGCATCGAGGTGCTGCCAGGATTACAACCATGATTCCCACATTTTAAAGAAAAATGCTCAGTCGATAGTCGGATTCGAACCGACAGTACCTTCGCATCGTGAACGGCTATCTAGCGAATTTCAGCGCATAGACAAACTCGGCCACTATGTATAGATCAAGTGCGTGACACTGAATTGTTACCATGAAATTGAATCCCAAGTGTTCCAAATCTTCCGGTGCGCACCCTTGACTCCATTCCTTGACTCCAATCAGATGGCCCATTTCAGGCAAATAAATCACAGCACACTCATCCAAAAATTCGGGGAGATTGTTCGCAGCGAATCGTGCAGCTGCCGTAATGTCTTTGGCGATATCCTGTTGTCGCAATTTCTCTAGAAAATAGTAGATTACACTAGGGATGCACAGGATCGGGTATTTTGCCGATCCGGTCGGTACCGGATTTCCGGCACAGGGCTGCAGGCTGCAGGTCATTTCATTATTCATTTGCTCACAAAAAATCCCCCTTTGCAGTTATGTCTGCTGGTGTTCAAGTCCAACTTTAAGATAATTTTCTTCATTTTTGCATATATTTGAATTTAAATTATAATAAAAATTTGAAACTTAAACATTTTCAAAAAGTTGAGAAAATTCCGGCCGGAAAGCGATCAGGTCGGATTTAGTGGTACCGCCGGAATTCCGGTGCATCCCTAGATTATACATCAAGGGAGTAAAGTGCATGATTTTTCCCGTGGTGCTTTTGTAGCCCGAAAGGCGCTACAATGCACTGGGAAAAAAATGCACTCACTTCCGAGGTGTGTGTAATATTTTTTGCATGACCCAACGATTCTAATTGAAATAATCTGAGTTTAATCATCATGACGGCCGCTAAATAAGAATAGCGTTTTCTAAACTAAACCGGATTCGGAATCAGGACGCCCAATTCACTAACTATTCATAGTTTTCCTAGAAAATCTTCAGTTCAGAAAAATTAAATTTTGTCTCACTTCTCATGGAAGCACCCCCGTATCTCACGTAATTATTGAGGTAGGGTTCTGAAATTTGCAGGAGGAAGGAAAAGTCCAATGATAAAGTCAATTTCGTAAAATACGGGGGTGCTTCCTTGAACAGTGCGACAACATTTAATTTCTCAGAACTGAAAATTTTCCAGGAAAAATATAAAAAAAGATTGTGTGAATTGGGCATCCTGATTCCGAATCTGAAGTGATTTTCGACCTATTTTGACTCCTAATATCATTTTCCGGAAATTGGGGTGGTTCCATGGCTGTTGGCGAGCAGTGTATATCACTGAAGATGACCCCACTTGGTCATATAGTGCATTTTTGGTATATTTCTCGCTCCAGAAAATTTCAGAATCCTTACCCAACGATTACGTAAGACACAGGGGTGTTTCCATTAGAAGTGGGTCACACTGTATAAAGGCTGATTCATTAGAAATGGGACATCTCTGAACTACAGATAGTAAACAACAATGTATGAAGATTAAAACCAACATGCCTCATGTAAATGTTACATATACAGGGTATTCAAGGGAACATTTTATTTTAAATGTTTACTTGACTTCAGTCGAACATTTACTTTAAGATTCTGTTTGTTGTTGGCGTTCTTATTAGTGATTGTCATCATTGATTACTATATTTTTTCCACTATTGATTCGCCCACTATAATTTAAAATTATCAAAATGTTATAAGTCGAATATGAATATTTTCAAGAGCGAATAACGCAGAAACCGTTAGAGCCAGACAATTTGAAAAAGAGTACATTTTTCATGTAAATTTTTTATTTTTATTTTCAATTGCATTTCCTCGTTGGACCCAGCACTGGATCCAACGCCCCATAAGTCGAAACTTGTGCGGGGTTAGGAAAGCATACATTCAAAAACATCCATGGCCTAACTGGAATTCGAACCCATGCCTCGGTGGGAACAGCATTTAAGATTTTTCACTTATTTTGATCATCATCAATGGAAAGAAAATATATTTTTTTTTATGTTCTGGTTCCCACGAAAACGGATATCCTGCAATGTTCAGAGAACATCGTGAGAACCAAGGGGAATAAGGTAGGAATTGGTGTTCTTCTTGAATTTCTGGAGGTTATATGCCTCGGAGAACACCTCCCTTGGCAATGTGTTCCAGAGCCTCGCTGTTCGTTGAATGAACGAGTCTTTAGAAAAAGATGTTTTGCAGGTCTCCAAAGTGAGCACGAAGGGGTGCGAAGCGTCAACTCGACGGGTTAATCTCGCGGGGACTGCCAATTGTTGATATTTCAGAAGAGCATAGTCCATGAAAATATCTATGAAATAGGGCCAGATCGCCAACTTGTCTACGGTGTTTCAGGGAAGTGAGTGAGTTTGTAAGCGAGGCATCACCCACGAGACGAATTGCCCTTTTTTAGACAGAAGCCAACAGTTTCAGGGTATGTTTGGGTGCTGCACTCCAAATATGGGAACAGTATTCCAGGACAGGTCGGATCTGTGCCCTGTAGATCATAAGCAACTGACTGGAAGTGAAATAGCTCCTGGCCCGAAACAGAAAACCAAGTTTTTGGGATGCACTTTTAGCAATAGATCTCACGTGATTTTCCCAAGAAAGGTTATTGCTGGTAGTAATACCAAGCATCGAAATGGATGTCTTCAAAGGTATGGTTACTCCTGACAAGCTTATGTTGGGCACAGTTAGATCGGCTTTTCTAGAGAAAAGGCATGCTTATGTTTTGTTTGCATTGAAATTACCAAGTTACTGGATCCCCATTCGAGAATTGTTGCCAAGTCCATATTTATGTTGTCAACATTTCTCCCTCGTTCGTTTTGATTTGCCTGGCTGGTATTGGAGCCCTGGAAGAGAAGGCGGTATGGAGGGTAATATCATCCGCGAAGCTGTGTACTGGACATGATGTTGCTTTCAACAAATCGTTGATATGGGGTAGAAATAGTGTTGGTGCTACAATTGATCCTTGCGGAACACCAGCATTTATGGTAGGAGAGTCAGTTGAAACTCCGTAGACCACTACATGGAGAGGCCTGTTTGAGAGGAAACTAGCTAGCAGAGAACATAGCTGGGGAGGCAAGCCATAAGATGGAAGCTTGGCGAGGAGTCCGTGGTGCCAGACTCGATCGAATGCCTTGAAGATATCAAGTGCCACGGCTAAGGTTCCACTATATTTTTCAGTAGATTGCTGCCTTATATGATATGATGTAATTTACCGAAGTAACAGCAGAGTGCCATTAGCGACCTCTATGAGCAATCACAAAATAAGTTGCAAATTCGTATTTCTCGTATCGGAAAACCTGAAATTACAAAATTGCATGTTCACGCTAATAAAACTCAAAAAGTTACTGAGAAATTTTAAAATAAAATCTCCCCCAAGAAACCCTGTATCTGCCGAATCAGCGACATTATATTACCAGGCATGTTGAACTAAATCTTAATATTTTAGTGTTTACTATCTGTAGTTAAGAGATTCCCCATTCATGATGAATTGCCCTGATAGGTCATGCAAAAAAATTAATTCAGGCTCATAATCGTTTAATTTTTTATGGAATGTTTTACTAGCATCCAGGACTTCGTCCAATCCGAATCTAATGATGGGCCGTCCCCGCTTTTGACTGACAGTGAAATCGATGCCATTTTCGATAGATTGTTCTAGACCTAGCAGTTCTTGAGATATTGCCTTGCTCAAATCCATCAGCAAACATGACTGATCTTTGTACGGAGCACAGAGATCACTGATGAAAATTGTATGATAAATTGCCTGGAAAATATAGAAGTTATAAGTGTTGATTGTGAATGGGGTACTATTACATACAGGGTCATTCTGTATATTTAAACAGCTGGCTTCTACAGGGTTCATCATTGGAGACGAAAAAACAAACATCAAATACGAAAGTTGTATGATTCGATCTGAACCTCCAGAATATAATAAATGGGTACCCCATATATTTTTCGAGAAAAAAATTGGACTTTCCTAATTTCAAAAATATATAGGTTGTTGATATTCGGTTCAGCCCTTTATGAAATATTCGAGGTCGAACATTTTCGAATTATATTTATAGTTTCATTTTACCAGATCGCAATTGCTATGAAGAATCAACAACACATATACAGGTTGTCATAGTGCAATATTTTTCAAATGATCTTTGCACGGAAAATAAATAATTCATAAAATAACCTTGTTCATGATATCATCTTGAAAATTATAACATATGTGTTTCAGAAGTTTCGCATCATGCTGTTGATATCAAGTTTCTTGATAAAAAAATGCCTGATATTACTAATAAGTGTCTTCTCGCACTGTTAATCGATTATAGTTGGCCGTGTACCATTGCAATGAAAGAATTGAGAAATCAGAATGTAGACCATATTAACATATATCAAGTTTTACAGTAATTTGGTCAATAAATAGGAAAACACAAAAGGGATGTGCTGCTTGGAGTGGTACACACTATAGGCGAATGACAGTGTCCAGCGTATTATTCAAATTCCCTAAATTCCATCATAAATGTGAATAAGTACTTCAATTTGTTGAAATCAGTATGAAATATTAAAAGTCGAAGCATATGCTGAATTTCCAATATAAAAATGGGAAAATTTCCTTCTGATGGTTTTTTATCAAATCAGTTTTATTACCTATTTATTTTCGAACTACGTAATTTAGAAACGGCAAAAGTTGACGTAACCGATTAATCTAGTAGAAATATAGTTACAAGTTTTAATGTTCGTAATTAAACATGCATTCGAACAAGCCCGAACTGAAAACGAGGAAAATCAGAAGACGAATGCACAACATTCTGGGCGAGAAACATGAAAAACCTAAATTGCTTCCAATAGTTTACCTTGTATAACACGTTCCAATCTCTGCTATTTGCCCTGGAGTTCTCTATTTTAGACAATATCATCTGTAAATTTATAATTTTCTAGATCTAGCAAGTCACCTCGAATAACTTAAAAATCATAATTACGTTTATGTCTCCTCCAATTCCTTTCATATTATCACGCAAACTAGCGATGAATTCTTCATTGCAAGGCTGGAGCACGAAACTGATGAAATCTTGACGTTTTTCAAGAACATTTCTGTCGTTCGTTGGGTTGAATAATATATTCCTGAATAACAAAGTAGATACTTAGATAAGAGGACTATCATCAATCAAAAACTGCAGATGATTGAAGTATTGCTTAGCGACATTGTTGAAGGTTTCCTAGCAACGCTGCTGATTGCCCAGCAACGCTACTATATTTGCCTAGAGAGCTGCTGATTGCCTAATAGAAACTCGCTGCTTCGGTTGCCTAGCAGAGCTGCTGATTGCTTAGAAACTCGCTGCTTCGGTTGCCTAGCAACGCTGCTAAGTAGTCGTTTTCTAAATACTGTCTGTTGGTTAATCGAGGAGGTGGAAGGTGGTACATTCATTTGACTTGATTATTTGGGATTTTTTCTCCTCGTTTCTATAAAATGAGAATATGAGTATTATGTCACTGAAAGGTGTCAAACTATAAGAAAAACAATTTCGAAGAAAAATGTTTTGCATTTTTATGTTGAGAACGGGAGCAAATTCGTCCCCGAAACGTCCAAAGATAAGTAAAAATTCGATATTTCTTCAATATATCTACATTTCTTCTCTTCAAACATTTTTCCAAACAAAGTGTCACTGACAAGCTATTGGATTTTTCTTTTAGGCTCCCTAGATAGGGCATTTTTTTTAAGGCAGTGACATCAATCAAGTCAAATCGATGTACCACCTCCTCGATGAACCAACAGACAGTATTTAGAAAACGACTACTTTGTTACACCGCGGCGGTAAACCTAGACAACAGCAGCAGTTTCTATAGATAATCAGCAGCTCTGCTAGGCAACTGAAGCAGCGAGTTTCTAGGCAATCAGTAGTTCTGCTAGGCAAATATAGTAGCGTTGCTGGGCAATCAGCAGCGTTGCTAGGAAACCTTCAACAATGTCGCTAGGCAATACTTTATTCAACTGCAGTTTTTGACTGATGATAAATAGGTATTTTGATATTTATACACCATGAATAAGAGAAATTGAAAATGAAAATGTCAAACATACCTCAATGATATCAGTCCATTTTTAGATTTGCAATTGTGTGAAAATAATTTGTATATACTCAGACCTTCTCTGGTGCTCGATGGTAAACCTCGCTTGAAGCTAGCATCATGACCACGTTTAGAAAAAATTTGCAATGCTTCAAATGTCGGATTATCTATTAGAAGATGATGCTTCCTAAAATATTCATTCAATATTATACAGGGTGTATCTGAATAATATTTTAGAAAATAAAGTTCGTGCAAACTTGCTTCGTTTTCGAGATACGGAGTCGTATTAATATTTCCATGAAAAATCTTTTTTCTATTCATTTCTCAATTGTTTTTTCATCAATTTCAATAAAACGTTGTGGTTTTGTTGATAGTAATATGGAGCTTCTTCTAGGGCAATTAGATTCGAAATAATATTTCCAGTGGCGTCACAGTGGGTAAATTTATCGATATTCATGGTGAATATCATTGTACACCACCGGTTTTTCCAGGTTTCATATTTTTGTTAGATTGAACTATTGTAATAACAACTTTTTCATCCGTTGTGTAATTTTTGTATCTAGCATGATTTTTGAGGAAACAATAAAAATTCGATCTGACTCCAAATTTTAATGTACCTAGGTGTTTTCAAGACTTCCATTGAGATTTCTCAATAACCCCAGCTAGAATCATTTTGAAATTTTGGGGCTTTCTCAGTCTCCATCCATACTGAATTTTGGCACCATGAAAGCTTATAGAGGAGGGTTATAAATAAAAACAATTAATACTTCCAAATTCAACATCCTGAATCACAAAAACGGACCATAAGTTAGGACACATGTTTATATGAACTTTATGTGCTAGAATGTCACAAGGAAACACCTCTTGAATTTTTTCGGTGTTATTTAGAAACACCCTGTATATCAGGCAGAAATACGTGATGTATGTAAATCTCAGTACAATAATTATGAATTTGAGTCTTATACAAATCGATCAGCTTAAATTTATTTCTGTTTGGAACGAATTTTGCCATTTATATCATATACAGTGTGTCCAAGATAGAGTTGTCTATCATGGGGTAAAGTTGATGATGTTTTCTCCGAAACGAAACGTCTCGTACGGAAAATCTCTGCGCTGTTTTGTAGAGCTTGAAAAGTATCAACTAGAAGGTGTCTTTTTGTTTTCCTATATCTGTTCAATAATGTCACAAGAAAAATAAAAACGATCCCCATGATAGACATCTTTATTTTAGCAGTCACAGCTCGTCAGGAACTTTTTCATGAATAAAATTATTTTTCGAAACTGTTTTCTATATTCATCGTTTTTTATGCTTCGATTATGTCACAATTATTTTGTAATTTTATTATCGTTTCACCAATATATTGTAATCAGAATTATTATTTGTATATTTGTATGTTGATGTTGAAATGTACCGACTGAAAGAAAATTAGTATATTGTTTAACGAGCACGGAATGATAGTAATTTCCTACGAGAATGAAGTTTGCAGCATGAGCCATAGGCGAATGCTGCAATCATTCAAGTATAAAATTAGCATCTCGTGCAAGTTATACACTATAATTTTTCTACAGATGTAACAGATAACAGCGGCATTTTCGATTTCTTCGTCTTGAAGCCATCTAATCTCCTGTCAAGTAATGCTCATCTATTAGACAGCACTGTATTGCTTGCAATTTGACATTCCATGAGCGATGAGATTTTTTTGAAATAATAACATAATGGAGTCATTGTGATATCAGATACGGAAATAAAATTGATGACATACAAAGTACCTCATTGATGTATCGAACACAGTAAAACAATAGCAATTTTGTGGTATAACCGTTTTTGAATTTGCAATTTTTCAGTAATCCCTAATACAACAGCATTCACCAAATATTAAAATCAGTACTGATTCACCTTCAACGCTTCTGAGTGGTAATAACTTGAATATTGTATATGCTCAATGTGACTAATAATGTGGCAAAACAAATTTTACCAGTCCAAGAGCCAAGTATTAAAACATCGTAAAAGAAGCTCTGATGATGGAAATGTACTTCTAGAATACTATTAATTTTCAAAGACACATGAAAAGGTTGGTAATAAATAATATGTACTTTGCCTCCACCGCGGGAAACATTTTGAGGACACTTGACGATACACGGAGGTACGGCTGGCCGACCAAGAAGGAGTGGGGTGGCTTATTGTTATTAGTCATCGTGCTGCTTTTGCGTTTGGTGTGTCGTGTATTGAAGTGGTTGAAAATAGTTTATTCGGGATTCAGATTTAGCAGCAGAAAAAAAGTCATGGAGAGCGTAAGAGAGGTGAGCTATTTATTATCATTTCATCAAAAACAAAAATGTAAGTTGACGAAATAGAGCAACATCTACCCTGGGCAACCCATCAGGTTCTGAGCCACGAGCCGTTCAGTGTAGTTTTTCTATTATACAGGGTGTTATTTAATTATTTGTGGCTAAAATTGAAGGATGGTTTCCTTAGCTCATTTAAAAATAAACTCCATATGAACATATCGTCGCTGTGAAATCAAACCGGCGTATCTGCAGAATTACTATTTTGCACCAGAGCGTTTCAAAGTTTTTATACTCGATTATTTCTTTATATCTAGTTGGTCTTTCTTCTCAGAGGTATCTTTTTTGTGCATAAATTTGAGTTCGGTTTTGCTTGTAGCTGCATCGGGGGTAAATAATTAGAAATTTGTCTAGTCGCAGAAAAATATGCAAATATGGAGTGTCTGGATTAACTGCGAATAAGCCACACTTGAGGCCACGCCTGTGCAGATTAGAGAGAGTAGTATTGTGAGATAATTCGGTCTTACTTATACATACTGTAGTTTTTCACCACGACATCTCATGCTGGACTGACGCATTGGGCAATACACATTTTTACTGCTCATAACATATAACTCTCTTTCCATTGTGTTATATTCTGTATTATTTTGTTATATCGATGAATAAAGTCGATTATTATTATTATTATTATTATTATTATTATTATTATTATAAAGATACTGATAAATCCCACCAAAATTCAAACTGGCACAACGCTACCTGACGAATCACAAGCATAAAATACATATGGTGGTTTGACTTCCTCAAAGAGGAGAAAAATAGTATATTGTTCAACGAGCACGGAATGATAGTGATTCCCTACGAGAATGAAGCTTTCAGCATGAGCCATATGCGAATGCAGCAATCATTCGAGTAGGAATTTGTTTGTTCTAAAATTTGTTCTATCCGTCATTCGGTTGCCCCCTTACGAGCAACCCTCAAAAGTCTTCGAAAGTCTTGTGCGAGCAAGGAATGACGGGGGCCTTACCTTTTAACGTGTGATCCCAAACACTTGAAACACAGGAATGATATACTATATGATAATACTATAGGTAATTTTTCTACGGCTATGATAGATAACAGAGGCATTTTCTATTTCTGCGCCTTGTAGCCATCTGATTTCCTGTCAAGTAGATGCTCATCTATTAGACAGAGCTGCCATTATTGCTTGAAGTTTGACATTCCATGGGCGATAAATGTTTTTTTGAAATAATAGCACAAATGGAGTCATTATGATATCAGATACGGAAATAAAATTGATGACATACAAAGTACCTCATTGATTCATCGAACACAGTGAAACAAGAGCAATATTGTGTTATAGCCGTAAAAAAACTGAATTTTTTGATACCAATAACTCAAAAATACCCTTTTTACAGATATGCTGGTTTGATTTTATAGTGACGATATGCCCAAAACCTCGTTCACCTTCGAAAATAGGGTGTTGAAATTTTGAGAAAAAAATTGTATTTTAATTATTACTTCAATTCTGTTCTCGATATTTTCATGAAATTTTACATGCCCTAAATATATATAGGCATTTTTTATGCTGGAGATTTTTCAATATTTCTACCAGTGGCATCCGTAAGTATATAGGATGTATACTGGAAAATTTTCTATAAAAATATTGTTCGCCCTTTCTTCTTCTGGAAGAACAAATCATTCATTTTGAAATCCTCATTCATTTTGCAACTATTTGACCTCTTGAATTCTTTCCGTCAACGCACCGTTTTCGTGTAAAAAAATAGAAACCATTTCCATTTCGACAAGTATTCATAACGTGACAGTTTTTCACATTGTGAAAGTTTTTTTAATCAATAATAAAGAGAACATACACTTTTAACACCCTATATAGCTCGAAAGTTAAGAGATTTAGGGCATATATTATATTCATTTGAACTTTTTTTTTCAAAATGAGCTAAAAAGGAACAATATATCGTCTATTTTTAGCCATCAATTGAATTACACCCTGTATATAGATTATTAGAAATAATGAACAGCACTGATGGGCCTATTCTAAGTGATATTTGCTACATACTTACCTAGAAATCTGAGTTATGGAAAGGCATTTCAAATCATCGTTGATCATTCCAAAATATGTCCAATTTTTTTCCAAATATTTCACGAGAGTTCCGGCTGCCTGTACAGACATCCGATTGTCAAAATCGATGAGAGAATGTATAGTTAATTCTCTTCTAACTTCAGAGGGATCGTCTTCAATTGAAGGTAATTTAATCTGAGAAATTATCGATTTGCATATTTCATAAGCTACAAAAAAGATAATTTCGGCACCTAAGCAGCGCATTTCGAGATTTGTTTGTGGTGAATAAGCGTAGGTAGTACCCAGCTTGATTTATTCACCCCCATTTTGAGGAAAAAATCAAATAAGCATAAATTACTCACAATACTCCTTAGGAGATACCAGAAAAAAATTTGCTGGTAAAGAACAAACGCTATCTGAGGTTACAGTTGTATCTGATCTATTGGTGAATATGTCCCTCAAAATTCTAATGAATTCATCCTTGATACTTCCTGTACTCAAGATGAACGAAGGATTGATTTCACGAAGTAAATGAATAGTTGCTAAACATCTTGGGAATATATCCAAAAACTCTTCATACACATAAAGCTAAAAATTATTGGGGTTTACAAATTAGTGATATAATAAAAAAATGACAGCATGGAATATTTACCTGTTTTTCTTGAAAATTATAACAAGCTGCTCCTACTTTACCATGCTTACATAAAATGCTTAATAACGTTTTTGTATCCTCATCTTCTTGTGAATGAATGTCCTGTTCATCACCCTCAGCATTGGAATCATTATTTTCCTGGCCCCTTCTCAGTTTGAAAACTAGAGTACTATTCGATGTACTCATATTATTCAGATATATAACAAATATGATAGTTATTTATGAGATTAATCTAAAATAATATAATAATCTTGAGATTGGATTTGAAATCCTAAATTTTAAATTCGGGAGGAAATAGGAAATGGATGTCAAATGTCATGTATGAAATAATCAGTGTTGCCAATACTATTTAAGATTCCAGATAACTCATTCCATTGCTGCCAGCGGACGAATTCAGAAATCAGCTCTCCGCTACTCCGCTCAATATAATCTGCTAGTTTGATCATAGAAATCAAATCCTCATTTTATGTTTCGAAAGGGTAGAAATACTACGAAATATTTATTGCATCAAATCAGGATATAGTTTGTTTTCACTATGAGTGTTGTTTACCATGTATATTGTTCTGATGAGTTGTGGAACTTGATTTTTTCAAACCCTATTTGCGGATCATTATTATATATGTTAGATTTAGAATCATCCATTTATGGTTCCTCATTAATATCACCTCTATTTCGTATTAGTACGCGCACATGTTCTCATTTTTTATTTAAATAATGAATGAATAAGTAAATAAATGAAATATATTTATTTATTTATTCATTTATTTACAATTTTGGCAGCCCAAACAGAAAAAAGTAATTTTCAGATTGAAGGTCAGCACATATGGAAAGGGTATTAGTTTATATAGTTGTATAATGAATTTATGTTCATCATACAGGGAGTGGAGAGAAATTCTGAATTGAAAAAAGCCAATCATGATTCTGTGATTAGAGGTCGATCTGTAAGTGCCAATATCTCCAAACCCATGAATCTATTACTAAAGCCATATTATCAGGCCTCCAAAGGATGACGTTGAGTTTTGGGACACCCTGTTTATATATACCGCATTTTAAAATTCAAATTGCAATTTTTCTGCTTTTTCATTGGCTGATTCATATATCGCATAGTGCATTTTACACTTCACTGAAAAACAAATAAAAGAACCTATTGTTCCATAGCTGCGATGATTGTTTTCTAAATATGGAGAAAAAATCTAGTGAGCTGGAACTACTTTTTTCTCCATATTCAGCAGACATCAATGGCTGCGATATACAGGATTGTATACAGGAGCAAACATATCTGCGACATATATGACATCTCTGAGATGTCGCGATGAGGCAACACTGTGATATCACGAATGTTGCATCGCTGCGATATGTACAGAATACAGAAGCCTACTCATCTGCGAGAATTTTTGAAATTTTTTTTTGTTTGGTGAAAATGAATACAGAATAATATAAGTTACTCAACAAAGTGAAGCTGAATTCGCAAGAATTCGTACTTTGCCATCAAACGATTCTTGGTTTGCTTACATCTCGCCGACACATACTACGTAATTTTCTAATACAAATACGAGTAACTGATCATATTCTGATAGAGATTCGTAGGTATACCAAGGATAGCACCGCTGAAAAAACGATTGAATGGACGACAGGAGACCCGAGGGACCACCAATAACCATAAGCATAATCAATATAGATGTTATCAGAAGTCAGTGGTGTACTTATTATCACACTATTTGAAGAAACTTCCTTTTTTCGTTTTACTGCGATGTAATCTCGCATCAAATTATTTGCAATGATATCAATTATCATTATACAATGTATTCAATCGCGTCCACAAAAAGTCGATAACGTCCAGAGTTGGACGTACCCAGTACATCGGAATCGTATGTACCCAGTACGGACCCGAAATGGACGTCCATTTCCAGACCTAGGGCGTCGAGTGCTATATGGGTAATCCACGATTCCACGAATCCGAATCCACGATTCACTGCGCTCTGTTGAACTGATTTTTAAAAATGTCAGTAATCATTTCAGGTGATACTATAGTTCAGTGGTTACTGGTTAGGTGGTTAAATTATTACAGTGGCAATGCAGTGGCATATTGGTTCTGTTTTCTATGAGTTCTATGCAAAAGTTAATGTTTCGTGATTCGTGAACCATCGGATTGAAAAACGAAAAATAGAAATAGAAAATAAAAATAAGAAAATGGCTGCCTTAAAAACTGAAATCAGGGATGAAAAAGAGAATGAACGTGACCACATTCAAACTGCAGTTGAAGATGAAATAAACGATGAAAATCCTGAAGTTTCTAAAAAAAAGAAAAAGAAAAAGAAGAAAAAAAATGGTATATTGTGGGGAAGATGTGAAACGACGGTAATAATATAAATTTTTCATTTTCTAGGGAATACTGAAGGTGTAATTGCTACTGACACAACAGACTTGATAGCATCAAGTCCCACTGAAAATGATACTACTGAAGTTCCAACAAACGGAACAGCTGAAATAGATGGTGATAGTGAAAAAAAGAAAAAGAAAAGGAACAAAAAGAAGTCTGGAAAAGTACAACAAACAAACCCTCCTTCTTTACCAATTGTTGATTTGTTTCCTGATGCCGTTTTTCCGATCGGAGAAATACAGGACTATCCTATTTTGAAAGATGACCGTTCTGCCAAAGATAGATTCACCTCTGAGGAGAAGCGAGCTCTAGATAGAATGCATAATGATATTTACAATGAAGTTCGTTTGGCTGCTGAGGCACATAGACAGGTTAGATAATTCTTCACATGACAAATCCTTCTGTCAAAAGCTGTTCTTAGCCTTAGCTAAGTAGATGGATTATACATAGTGAAATTGTTGTATTGGTTAGTTTCAGCCAAGATAATTTGATTAGATAGGGCAGTCTTTCAATATCCTAGATTCCTAGAAGATGCAACTTTCAAAAAAACATTTTTAGTCAAAATTCAAGGCTATATGAATAATCCTTGGAATAAATTAATCAGAGTGATAAGATATGGCCTAGTACTGGTTGGTATGAACCCTTTTTCAATAGTTGATGCACTAGGTTTCATTATTATATGTTTAAACAAAGAGAAACTAGATTATACTTTTCCTATGGGTGGGTATAAATAATCATCTGATCAGATAAGATGAGATACTCATTATTGTTTTACTAGTAAAACATGTATACTTTTGGCTTCTGGTATTTAATTTAATAGAAGAACAAGAATCTAGTGCATTTGATATAAATTCAGGATAATATCTATGTAGGATGCACAGGTGGGTATGTAATATAAATTATATTTTTCAATTTTTCTATCATTAACTCTTGGCCACTGTGAAGAATGGATTGTTTTCAGTACTCCATTGATTTTATGGGTATGTTATTTGACTATTTGAGTAAATTAGTTTAATAACAAATTTTTATGACATGCTTTTCCATAACATACTGGTACAATGACATACAAAAAGTGTGTTTCTCCTTGGTAGTAGTTTTATCACTTTTCTAAAAAGATAGAGGCTCAACATTTTTTCATTATTATTTCAAATACTTACATACCCATAAATTGCTCATTTTACCATGTACAATTTATGTCAAGGAAACATACACTTAGGTAAATAATTTATTTTGCTTCAATTTTACAATTTGTATATTGGAAATAATTGATTAGAAATGCAATAAGCTTTCTATCCATACCAAATTATGCAATGCAATTTTAACAATATGATCAAATATTCAAACATACTTTAAACTAATGGTAGTTGGAGTATGCAAACATCACAAACTAATTTGAAAAAATTAAAAAAGGCAAAAAAACAATAATCTGATACATTATGGATGATTAGCTCAGATTCACTTCTGATTTTTTCATTTTTATATTAATCATTAGATGTTCTCAAATGCAGTTGCTGAATCTTTCACCTGTTTGACCAACATATAACTCAGGACATAACACACAGTTCAATTCTTTTGCTTCTCTTTCTCTGAATCAAAAAATGTTCCATCTCTCATTATTGGTTTGATTTTCAAACATAAGGAGAGAAATTGCAGTAGGTTTCTACCTATTGAATGGTGTGGCATAGTGTATCCTTCTCTTGGAGATGATACAGATATAATAAGTATAAAAAATTAGGATGAAAATAATGTACCTATACTAGAAATCAGCATCAACATTTATTCCAAATAATCTGTATTCATAATTGGAATTATTAATACTTGCATTTATTTTGAAGCATTTGTTTATCTATTCAGTTCTTTTATTTTATGATTCTATTCATGTTCATTATTACAATGATTCCACCGAGGATTCCACATTCACAGAGGAAAACTAGCAGATGAGTTATTTTTTTTAATAGAATCATTCAACATGAATGTCTATCAGGCAATGATGCCTCAACTACAAATAATCATGTAGAGGTATATTCAAAAAATGTAATGTAATGACATATCAGGGACCTATATTTATGAGTGCTTAATGTTCCTATTAAAAAATCGCATTACATTTGAATTTCATAAGATACAACATAGTTTAAACACAGGAAACCATAGCACTGACTACAATATCCCAATCCACAGACTGTCATCAACAGAAAAGACTCCAGAGTATGTATGCATCTGGGTTTTCAATAAATTGCCAACAACAGTCAAAGAAGAAGTTAACATCAAGGTCTTCAAGAGGCTCATAATCAATATTATAGTGGATCTAGAACCATACTCTAATGAATAATATTTGAGGGAATAGAAGATATTTTTACAAAGACATCCTGCAATGTAAATGAGACAAAATAGTATTTTATGCAATGATCATGTATTAATAGTCATTCCATAATTATTATTGCATACAGTATTTTCCATGACCAAAAATTCATTTCATATTATTTATATTACAACATCATGAGTCCATAAATTGTCTGTACTATTGACGCATTGTCATTGAATGTCATTTGAAATTGAATGTCAAACAACTCAAACAAATGAGATAGAAACGTAGAGCCTCTTGTTCAACAAGCGGCTAGCTAGACCAGCGAATCTTCAAACATCGAGGTCAAGTGACGTCACCCACAACACATGCTATTTCTTCCTTCTTTATATTGAGAAACTAGGACTACTACCAGTAAAGCAATACCTTATTGGTCTGTGTAATTGACTTCCAATGTAGTGACTGGGGTTCAATCTCTGTGGGTGTTTTCGATTTTTTACTATTGCACCATTCAATAAATCCCGTGTAGTGCTTCTCATACCCTTTTTAAGACTTCGTTGGCAATAACTCATCTATATCGCATCTGTAGCTGGAAGTTTTTCATCACAATTCCACTGAATCGAAAATGACAGTAACACTCTGTCTGTCAATCTGAGAATTACACTAATTAATTTGTGTTTTGATTGAGACATGACAACAATTGTTTCCCACATCAGATCAATTTAAGGCTAAGTGGGGATTTATATATTTATTTTGTTTTAACATCCAGATATAACTTTTCTTAGTTTTTCACTTGAAAAAACAACCTAAGTGGCGCCTAACTAGCCACCTAACAAAGTCAAAACTCTAGGCCTTTGCTCACCAGACCCAAGAGTTGCCGGAGCCAGTTATGAGACTTGCTGTACTTATTTTTATTTATGAAAATAAATAAAAAGTAGTGAAGTTCGTATCACAATAAACTAGTATTTTTCAATATTTCTTAATTTCCAAAATAGATAGTGCAATTTGATGGATGATTTTGTACAAACTTATTATACTGCAACAACAAAACCGAAAATGTTCAAATTGTTTCACCCACCACTCATATTTTGCGAGAAAATTATATAAATGTTTTTCCCGCACTATTGTGGGAAAACTTTACTGCGGGAAATTGATACTTCCCAAACTAAATTGCGTGCGGGTATAGGGTGAATCACGCACGCTTGTAGAAAATAGCAATTTTCCTAACAAGTGCGGAAAGTAATTCTTTCCCGCACGCGACTGCCGTTGACCTGAACGACGCGAAGCTGAGTTCGGGCAAGCAGTCGAGTGCGGGAAATACACTTTCCACATGAGTTAGGAACAATATTTTTCTACAAGCGTAGGAAATTGATTGATTTGTTCAATTAATTATTCATTCATATAGGAACAATTAACAAGAGAAATATATTCTCTATCTACTGAATATTAGTAATAGCTATTGTGAACTTACAGTTTGATGCATTATGTATAGGTTCATTGCGGAAGCCAGCAGGCCCATAAGGTGTTTGGTCTCTAGGTTTCAGACACTTCTAGGAAATGAGCCAAAAATACTTCTTCTTTATCCGGTATTTTCATTTCTTTATTGTATAGCTTCTCAAACCTTTCTGAAGACTTCATTGGCAATAACGCATTTGTATCGCATCCCTATAGCTGGAAGTTTTTGATCACATTGTGGCAATTCCACTGAATCGAAAATGACAGTAATGCTGTGTCTGTCTCTTCGGCAATAACAAACTCATTTGAGGTTTGATTGACATGACAACAATAATCGTTTCCCATCAGATCAATCCAATTCTATAGGGGGATTTTTATAATAATCAATTTTTATTTTTCAATATTTCTTCATATTCACAATAAATAGTGCAATTTGATAGATGATTCTACACATACATACTTAATACTGAAACAAACAAACTCAAACTTTCATAGTTCATCACATACCACTTATATTTTGCCATATTATCATATCTTCGTTTTCCCCGCAATGTTGCGGGAAAATGACACTTCCAAAACTAAATTGCGTGCGGGTATAGGGTGAGTCACGCACGCTTGTAGAAAAAGAATTTTTCAAATCGGTCCAGTAGTTTCGGAGCCTATTCAATACAGCCAAACAATCAAATCTTTCCTCTTTATAATATTAGCAAAAGTGGCCGAAACTATTGTTTTCGTAGACGAGGCAACACATTCAGAAGTGGATCAAACCAGGAATGACCATGATAGAAATTTGCGAGGAACTGGAGAACACCGCAAGGAAACTGATAGGAGAAAACGGCCTCAAAGCTGGCTTGGCGTTCCCAACTGGGTGTTCGAAGAACCACTGTGCCGCTCATTATACCCCTAATGCCGGCGACAAAACGGTGTTCGAATACGATGACGTCGTGAAAATAGATTTCGGAACGCACATCAACGGGCGCATCATCGACTGTGCCTTCACTCATACTTTCAATCCCAAGTATGATAAGTTGGTGGAAGCTGTGAGGGATGCTACCAATACTGGCATCAGAGCTGCAGGTACACTAAGGCATATCAGAATTATTGTATAAAAAAGATCCATCTAAAAAGATTACCGCGAAATGAATGAAGGAAAAAATAATTATAAATGGCTACAAAAACAGAATGAGGAAGTTTTTCTGAAACGAATTAACATAGAATTATCATTCAACTACCTAGTATAAGGTTTCTGTTGGCTAAAATGGCTTTTCAAATTATTCAAATCATTTTAATTTTCCAAATACAGAAATTTAAATAGTTATTTTTGTATCTAGAGCGCGAAATGCTACTTGGTGATCAAGATCTGATTTTTTTAGTTAAAAAAATAGTCGAGATGACCAAAGTATTTCGCGCTCGAGTTGCAAACAAAATTTTTTCTACAAACGTCAAAAAATATAGTTCCAAAGTGAAAATATGCTTAGCTTGATGTAAAAAACAGTGTTGAACTGGCTTAAAAGGCCTCCCCCTATCCTCCCTATAGGTACGCACGATATTCCACGAACATAATAGGAATTTCATTTCGTTTGCTCCAAGAGATAAAACGAAGTTATTGTTGAACATTCAGAAATAAATGATTTCGTGGATGTTTGCTCGATTGAGGACCATAATGTTGAAATATAAATATCTCATTTATTTTACATAACAATGCGCGAAGTAGGTACTTCGCGCACTGTTTTACTTCGCGCATTGTTTTGTGCAAGGTATCATGGTAACGTAGGAAACTGAAAAAAAGTGTCACTTCGCAATTTGTTATCAATGCGCGAACCATGTCATTTTTTGACGTTTGTAGAAAATAGTTATTTTTGTATCTAGAGCGCGAAATGCTACTTTGGTGATCGAGATCTGATTTTTTTAACGAGGCGTAGCCGAGTTAAAAAATAGTCGAGATGACCAAAGTATTTCGCGCTCGAGTTGTAAACAAAATGTTTTCTACAAACGTCAAAAAATATGGTTCTGATGTAAAAATATGCTTAGCGTGATATAAAAAATAGTGTTGAACTGGCCCTCCTACCCTCCCTAGATACGCACGATGTTCCACGAACATAAAAGGAATTTCCTTTCGTGTACTCCAAGAGATAAAACAAAGTTATTGTTGAACATTCAGAAATAAATGATTTCGTGGATGTTTGCTCGATTGAGGACCATAAAGTTGAAACATAAATATCTCATATATTTTACATAATAATGCGCGAAGTAGGTACTTCGCGCACTGTTTTACTTCGCGCATTGTCTTGTGCAAGGTATCATGGTAACGTAGGAAACTGAAAAAAAGTGACACTTCGCAATTTGTTATCAATGCGCGAATCTTGTCATTTTTTGACGTTTGTAGAAAAAATTATTAATGAAATGGATCATACTACCTAGATCTAGTGACATTTTGGGATATTTGTTTATGATAAGTTTATTGACTCCTTTCCTTCACGCCTACATACCCAAGAATAAGAAGAAAGCTGTCGGTATGGTCTAACTCAAACCTTCAACAATAATGTAAACGAAATACATATCAGTATATGCTATAAATAAGGTTTACAATTACTGTTGCCAGGCTTAGGTTGTCAATTTCTTGGAGAAATTGAAGTATCTCAAACTTTTCAACAGAAATTCAAATGGGGGAGACCACTGATTTTTTAAAATGACATTATCGTGAACTATATACTGAAAAACTACCGGCGAATTAATTTTGAATTTTGTCATTCATGCTAAGACGATGGAAAAAATAAATTAAAATATGTCCATTTCAAAACACACAATTCCTGCGCCATTTGAAATTTTGTCAATTCATTGGTGTGACTGGTGCGACGTCTTATTCCCAACACGCCTATTGTCCATGAACTGACCAATCACACTGCAACACTGCAGAATGACGAGGTATCCGAGAGAGATAGCTACAGTTCGGGACTAATACGTCACGACTCCACCATCATATTTGGCTGTTTGAAATATCGAATGAAATATGCTGATTTCAAAACGATATAGATTCGATTCCCTTCAACTTTAACTCATAATATTGATTGTACATCAAACGTAAATCATGATTCGTCGATTGAAAGAGGTTTGCACGGATTTCTTCTCTCAGTGGTCTTCCCCATTAGAATGACCAACCTTCAAAACCAGCTGTCAGTATCATTGTTATTTTGTGTATTCCCAAAATTTTATAACTGTCAATTGTTATGCTATTCTAATATTTGTTTCCTCTATAAATCCCATTTTATTTGTATATAATTTCAAGAAATACCTAATTCAATTTCCATCCATACTATTTGTTGAATACGACATACCATTGCTAACTATGATGTTAGAGCCGAATCATTACTGGCGTAAAACGACTCGCATTTATAGCTGTACGTATATAGCTTTTCTAAAAGTAGTACGTCATGAAAATGGTGGAGGAGCCGGAACAATCTAAATTTGAATCTTGGAAATTTTCACTTGAATCTGTTAATAATTCTTCGAAAAATCATCATCAAAGCTCAGTGACTCAAAACTTCACTGGAGCAAAGTAGAAACAGTGAAATTACTATAAGAAACTAATTATTATTCAACAAACCATGAGATTGAGGATTGTGTTACGGTTGGTTATCGGTCAGACTGAACACAAACTATTCATTGGGCGAGAATCACTTAGGATTCCAATTATTGCAGGTATCGACGTTCAGCTATGTGAAGTTGGCGCCCAAGTACAAGAAGTAATGGAATCTTACGAAGTGGAACTTGATGGAAAAACGTATCAAGTCAAGTCAATACGTAATCTTAATGGGCATTCAATATCTCCATACAGTGAGTATTCATTAACTAATGTCATCGAATGGGACAAATGATATTGTACTAGATGCAAAAAAATTATCGCAGGGTATGAACGATCAAACAGATTCTACAGAAATGCTCCCATTTTTTATATTTACTGTCTACAAGTTACAAAAAGAAAAAATCTGTAAATTTTAGGAATTCATGCTGGAAAGACTGTTCCAATTGTTAAGGGCGGCGAAGCAACTGTGATGGAGGAGAATGAATTCTATGCCATCGAGACTTTCGGTTCAACTGGACGAGGAGTTGTTCATGATGATATGGAATGTTCACATTACATGAAAAACTTTGACGTGCCATATGTTCCGTTGCGGTAAGCATTTTATTTAACATCTCATCTTGCAAAAAGGTTCCATTAGGGACTAGTTGCTGACGTGCAAACGTCTCCCACCAGTACCAGTAACATCTCATCTGTTCAGATTTTGTCTCATATAAGTACTCAGTATATGAAGAAATAACATTTTTATAATTCTGAATTCAATTTATTAATTTTTTCATTTCAAATTTCATGATATCCGACAAACTGCTTATCATATTAAATAATCCACATTATAATTGACTATATTATGTTATTGTTCATCAATTAAGTAATTTCGTGTGACCTGGGTAGACAATTCAGTCTGTGATCCAGTTGTGTCTATATTTTTTTGCTGGTGGTAGTGCTAGTAGCAAAATCAATTTGGTAGGCACATCTCATCCATGTAAGTACCTACCTTTAGTTCATTGTTTTTGTTTCAACTTGTCTTCTTTCTCAGTATAAATGGCCACCTTATTTCCTATCCAGTGTACTTTAACAACCACTCCTATTTTTGTTGTGCATTGTGAATGCCTTTTGTAACATAAGGTATATTTCTTGATGAAGTTTATTGACGATGATGGTAGTAGGACTTTATTCCTTTTACCCATGGCTACAATTGGTACACATCCGTTGTGGTAAAGGCTTTGACGCTTGCTGTATGATGAGTCTTATATCATTTCACAATATTCCTGCCAAGGAAAAGCTCGTATATCGACACGACACGATTATGGTTCCGGAAATTCTCGATAAACTCGCGTAACATCAAAACGTTGACCGTCCCGTTAGCGATTTTACTGAATATACTGTACGCTAGCACATACCACGCCCACCGCTATATCTCATCTTCAAAGTACTTTACTTAGGCAAAACTCAGAACTATTTATCCTCAACGAACTAACCTATCCCTGATTGCAATATTTTTGAGGAAGGAAAACCGAATGTAGTGTAGAAACACATTGATTAATAATATATTTCAAAAGTTGAGTTCTTCAACAAAATTGAATAAAATGAGACTGTTTATCCTAAACGCACTAACCTATTTGACTTCAAATATTTTATGAAAAAGGAAAACCAGAATGAAGTAAAAAAACGTTGGTGAAAAAAAAGTTGCAAAAAAAAGTTCAAGTTCACAGCGATTCGAACCATGGACCTTCAGACTGAAAGTCGACAGCGCTAACCATTACACCATTCGGGTGTATGAATTTACTGCGTACAACAGATTGACAACGAGAGAGATTCAGTCGAATTCGTGTCAAAATCATAAAAAGTGTATTCTTGCGTTGGAGCCCAGTATATTTAGTGCGATGTGCTGACTCCGAGTATATCGATAATGTTTGGAGATATGACGTATTATGGTGGGCGTGGTTTGTGCTAGCGTGCAGTATATTTAGTAAAATCGCGTCCCGTTATCATTGCATGTTGGCACAGTTACAACACATAAAAAGCCGCCATCTGTTTTTTTCGTTGTCCGATGTTATCGAATGTGTGTGTTGATATAACTTCAGATGCATTTGGCAACACTGCAGTTGCAAATCCCGACACCGCGTGCCAATAGGCGACTGAATTCAAGATCGGTTTTGTTTTTGTACTTCTACATTGGTAACCCTATGAATTCCTAGTACATCTGGACTGACGAACGAATCTAACAAACATTTCTGAGTAAGGTTATGACTTGGCGCCCAACGTGGGGCAAATAGATGCAATAACGGATATTTCTTGATGAACTTTATATTCATGAGATAAATTATTTTTGATAGTAATAAAAATTTGAAATTCAATGGAAAACAATATCTTCAAGATATAAATATACCGGGAGTAACAGGAACATGGTACACTAAACCATTTTGATGAACTTAATTTTGTGATAAATCAAGAAATCTGGCATTTTTGACAAAATTTTTATGGGATTTACATAAAAAATGACGTATCATTGAACTCAGAAAATGATGCAGAATTCGAATATGGAATGATATACAGGGTGTTCCATTTGAAAATCAAAACTTCCAGTGAAAGTTGATCATCATTCCAAATTGCAATCTCTGATCTCTAAAACTAAAAAAAGAGGGTCTACCATGATCCTGTTACACCTCGTATGTCTTTCTTTCAAGTAATTATAGAATCTGATATTTATAGGTTAGTTCTGAATTTAATTCTGAAAGTTTTCAAATTTCAAATATATATTCTTACCATCCATCAGGTTAGAACCTCAGATCGTGAAAGTATAATAAACACAAGGCCATTCGTTATAATTATAATACACTGACAAAGTTGCCGAATCGGTTTCCATTCCTGTTATTGGAGAAATGACTATACATCTCGTTATTTTTCTATACATTATTGTGTCCCAAAGGTACAATGCAGCCAATTCAATTTCAGTTTACAATCATCCAAAGGACTTCTCAACATCATAAACAAGAATTTCGGTACTCTTGCTTTCTGCAAAAGATGGTTGGACCGTGCTGGTGCGACAAAATACCAAATGGCTTTGAAGGATTTGTGCGACAAAAACATCGTAGACGATTATCCTCCTTTGTGTGACATCAAAGGATGTTACACAGCTCAATTTGAACACACAATAATGCTGCGTCCGACTTGCAAAGAAATTGTATCCAGGGGAGATGATTATTAATATTGTTATTTTCGTTTGATGACTAATGAGTAATTTTGCTTGGTTTAATAAAAATATTATCAATAATCTAAATGTTTCTTCTTTTTTTGTTTACTCTTGTGCGGATTGAGACCAGATATATACATCCTCTTCCCCATACAATTATGGTAAAAATATAGAAGGAAAAAAACGGGTCAACACTGCTTTATCGATTTTATTATCTTTAACCATCTTTAACATTGTGTAAAGTACCTAGATTATTTTGATATTCATGAAAAAATGTTCATAGGAAACTAACTATATCATTATAAATCCCTTGGAGTTAAACTATCATTGTAGTTGTAGCATAATGTTTTGCTTAATATTTGTAATCTACTAACATACTTTTAATCTATCAAATGTTCCTTAAACCTAGTTTCAGTGGGTCTTCTTGTTTGCCCTACTTTGTTTTGTTGTAAGTAATTTTTGATATTTCTGGTTTGTCAAGGGTAGTATTTTGGGTCTCCTAATCATTGACGTAATTTGTATCCAAATTGCGTTTTCACAACAAAGTCATTTGCTGTGTTTCATGGTCTAGCTCCCGACTTCCAAGCTCATATGATTTTTAGAAATGTTTTCTACTTTATATTAATTCAAGCTGGGTTTTATACAGGATGGGGCGATTTTGCTTCCATTTAATGAAGGCATTTTTGACAGAGGTGACAAATTTGACATTTTGCTTCCACCGTTTGATTTCTTCATACTATTTCTACAAAAATAGTATTCCTTATCGATTAATCGATTAACCGTTCTAGAGAAAATCGCCTTTTAAGAAAATGTACACATACATCCCAACCGTTTCAAAGGTAGGTAATAAAAAAACTATTTATTCAATAACATCATGGTAGTTACAATCAGTCATAATTGATATCAAATTATATTGAGAGTATTTCATACTTTGGTAAGACCATGGGTGAGTTTAGTAATGAATCTATGGTAATGATGAGTATGCCATCAGGCGGGCCTACTCTATCTCACCGGGCCGTAGTCTATCCCCTCTCTCTCGACGCTGACGTCACACTAGTAGGTTGAGATTTCACATCAGTCCCTACTCGTGCGTTCGTAATTGATAGGCTATAGCTCATTTACTATAAATTTTAGAAGCACACTCAATCGAGACGAAATGATCCCCAACGAATTCCCCAACTTTTGGTGAAAAAATGAATCCAATAGGATGAATCAATACAGGGTGCTTCAAGATTCAGCATTCTGATCACCCTTGTATCTGTTCCAATTAAATGTCAGTAGATATTAAATCATAAGTTGGGATAGGGACATGACAGCCGTTTTGGCCGATAATGAACAGTTTCCACACAAACAAATCCTAAAGTTGAAAAATCTCGATTTTGAGCACCCTATATCTCTGTAATCATTCCCGCTAGAGTGATGCATTGATGAAATCAGCTCACAAAGGAGAATGCGAAAATGCAATGAAATACAGGGTGTACCATAAGAAAAAGTATAACTTTGATACGCCAAGCATTTATGAGTCACCGTGTATAAAGCGAAATAATTTGGAAATCTGCTGCTATGATCCTAGATCATCTCCGAAATTTTTGTTCAACTATCTCAAACAGTAAAGTCCTTATCTCACTTTGCCACACTAATGACTCACCCTGTAGAAGCTAAACTGAATTTGACAGGTCACATACACTGGTCACATAATATGATAAAATTCAATATGGATAGTGAAATGAGTAGGTAGTTAAGACATAAGTGTGCATATATTATATTAGATATATTTTTCAAATACAGTACCTAGTATATTATTGGTAAATTATATTCCATAAAAAGAACAGTTCTAGTTTCAATTACAATTCTTCATTATATTTTAGTTGAGGAGAACATTGAAATACAATATTAAAATTATGAAAAATGAACTTTTGTCTTATGGCATCTTATGGTAAATTAAAAAATTCGAATATAATTACTTTTTTGTACATTGAATGTGTCCACCATGAATAAATACTGTTGTGGTAGTCTTGTCCTGGCTCAAAAAAAAATGTTTAGTTGTAAAAAAAACTGTTTGTTCATAAAAGAACTGCTCTGGTAAATTATCAATGTTATGGAAAATAATCAATTTTGGTCATTCACTAATAAGTTCTGTATATCAGCTGCAATCTCATTTGCACTGGGTTTCACTTGAATATCATTTTCATGTAACCCTTGGCTTATCCTGGAGCAGCATTTTTTGTGCCAATGCCAATGTAATCTTTGACAGTTTCTATCACAGTACTGCACACTTTTACATTTTGAACATTTTTTTGTGGGTTTCTCTTCTCCACATGTACTGCATATGGATAAATTGTCTACAAATCCTCTTTGGCCATTTATAGATGCATTTATAACATTGAAAGGGGATGGGGGATCCTCTCCTGCTAAACTGGTTACTATTTGACGAAATAATGTGCAGTCCCTAAAAGGAAATTCTCTGATGCATTCTTTCAGAAAACCATCCATCACTTCCATTTGACCATCTTTACCAGGTTTCAAGAGTTTTCTAGTGAATAGTTCTGTTATATCCAATTTCTTTTCATCATCAGCTTCATCCTTCTTAGTATTATTCTGTCTTTGGCGTATCTTTGCTATTTCTCCTATCACATATGCAAGGTAATGAAATTTGAAAGACATAACTTCATTCATTTCTGCCCCTCTTTTGATTTCCCTTTCAGACATCAACTCCAGTACTTTCTTCAGCTCTGTCAAATGTTCAGATAAACCAACAAAATTTTGTACATTTAAAGCAACTTTTACTGGATGAATGTTTACTTGCATAATAAATTTATGGAAACTATCTGCTAAAAAAGGTGGTAAAGTAGGAATTGACTGTGTACCATGAACTTTGGTATAATAATCAACATCTTGTTTGGGAATATAATTATTGATAACTGCAACACAACTATGATGGCCAACAAAAGCAGCCATCTGAGCAGCATTACGCCCAACAGTATTGGTTACCAGAGACTTTGCACCTGCTAATAATAGAGCTAAACAGACATCTGAGTTTCCTGACAATCCAGCAAAATGTAAAGCTGTGTAATTATGTTGGTGTTCACAATAATTTACATCAGAACCCTGAAAAAACGTACATTTTACTAATTTGAAAGTAAACACATTGGGACTAGATTGGAACCACCAACCACCCATTCATTCTATTTAAGAGTGATGCTAGTACATACTTGATCCAAGAGGAGCTGAACAATTTCCTTGTTTCCTTTATAAGCTGCATGTTGCAAGGGAGTCATGGAGTTTTCATCAACAAAATTCACATTCGCTACTTCTGATAAAAGGGTCTTAAGACGCACAATGTCATTTTGGTCTATTGCACCAAAAATTTGTTTTTCATTTTCTGTTAACTTCTTCAAATTGTTTTCTTGGTGGTCAACCATTGTAATAATTGGATAAAACGCTAATTTTACTTATCCTGGCCGACTTCAGCGAACTGAGTTCAATTAGAATTAATAGATTAAAAAAATTCAAAGACAGAAATTGAAGAAATCCATTCACAAATTTCACAATCAAAATTGATAAAATAAAAACTTGAAGCTTGTCAAATTTGTCATTTTTATTGACATGACGTCAATCAGACATGTGGTCAGTGTTGCCAGATGCTGAACATTAGAGTTGTTTTTTCTTGTTGAACCGTGTTCAAAACGATTTGAAATCAAGCATGTTCTTGTGCAAGTTATGACGTCACCAAGTAATACCTTTCATTCTGGTTCAAAAACTTTTAACTGAACGATTCGAGCCGTGTTCGAACATGTTTCGAACCAGGAAAATCAGTGGAGGAGTGGAAAAACGACAATGTTTGATGGTTTGAGCGTTTGAGGTTATAAATATTATATTTGAGAAATTGACTATATAGCTTGAAAAATGGAGTGTGATGAGGGTATGGTGCATAACTTTCCACTTCAGGATGCTGGAAATTTTCGAGAATAAAGAATTATTGATTTCGGTTTTCAGGTTGAATGTATCTGGCTTATGACAGCTTATGACGCTTGAAAACGGTTCAAAACTAATCTTGAATCATGAATACGGTTCAACAAGTAAAAACAACTGAAATATCGCAAAAAGCCACGAAAAAAACCGCTAGGCGTTGATGCCGACGTGGGAAAAAAATAATACGAAACCCGTCAAACCCATATGACTGTTTCCATCCTTCACTTTCCTTCCTTATAGATTCAAAAAGTATGGGTGCGTTTTTCATTCCAACATTTTATCATGCGCATGAATCGAAGAAACCATCAAACTGTTGCAAAATTCCGCTGGAATGTTGATGGACATCCATCAAACTGTTGTAATAAAATGCGCACTTTTAAATCGCATTTCGAGAATCCAGCAGTTTGGAGGAGATTGACATGACAGTTGGCACATTTTAGTGTTGTTTTTTGTTTTGATTTGATAGAAAACAATTAATATTGAGGATTTTTGAGATTCTTGAGAGATTTTAGAAGAAAGAGTCAGTGTTAATCAATAAAGTCGAATTTGCCTTATCTGATTCTCAAGATACATGATGACTGACACACAACAAAATCCGTGTTTCCATCAATGTGTTGTATAAACCATTGTTCAATCCTTCCAGCATAAATTCCAACAGAACAATTGGTGACGTCACGACAAAAAACCGCATCTATCAGTGCGCACTTTCTTCGATGGAATGAAAAACGCCTCTTTACTCTAGAATCTGAATTTAGCGTCAAAACAGCTAAGATGGCAACCATGCATTGTAGTCTTCTTCCTCTTCTTAATCATTAGGAATATTTTATGTTTTTCCACCCATTCTTTGATCAACTTTGGGGCCAAGGGCCGTCAAGGGCAACAAAACGGGTTACGGTTGAGGCGGGTTATGACTAGAAAACGTTGACATATATGACTTTCAACTGACAGGTCGGTCATGTCTGTCATTTCGATTTCGTGTAATTTTACAAATTTTCATTTTCTTCACGATCTCATCTCCTGGGAATCAGGATTATCAGGAACGGGAATCTCTCAGTGAAATTGGCATATGTTCTCTAGTTCCAAAAACTCTAGTGATTATTGAAAGAACATAACAATTACTTTATAAACCAATTTTGCTGATCATGCAGGGTTCACTCTGGAAAGTAGTTTCACCTATCAAGGTAAGAGAATAAAAATCCTTTACGTAATATAACCAAATACATTTTTCTGTTGGGTGTTCGGATGATATGATGAAATAATAATCTTGATTAGATTCACTGAATATTTTTGTCCACTTCATTAAATTGGTTTCCAGCCAAAATTGAAATTCAACCAAAGACTATTAGGAATTCTACAAAATAGGTTGTATTCAACTTCAGAGGATGCTGATATTGTTGTCATTGGTTCAGGACCAGGTGGTTATGTTGCAGCTATCAAAGCAGCACAGCTAGGCATGAAGGTAAATCTTTCAATTTGAATCATTTGAATGTTTTAAATTATTTCAAATCACAACATAATGCCATTTATATTTCAGACAGTATGTATTGAGAAAAATTCCACATTAGGAGGTACTTGCCTCAATGTTGGATGCATTCCTTCAAAAGCCTTATTAAATAACTCACATTTTTATCACATGGCACACTCAGGAGATCTTGCTAGCAGAGGAATTGAGAGTGAGTTATTACTGAGTTCTGTGGTTATTACAAAATGAAAGGCAAAATGACAATATTCTTTTAACTACATTTCCTGTATCTTGCAGCTGACAATGTGAAATTGAATTTAGAAACATTAATGGCACAAAAAACCAAGGCAGTAACAGCTTTAACAGGTGGAATTGCTCAGCTTTTCAAGAAAAATAAGATAACTTCAATTAGGGGTCATGGAAAAATTACTGGTATCAATCAGGTAACAGCTTTAAAGGAAGATGGTTCCACAGAAGTTGTTAATACTAAAAATATCCTTATTGCTAGTGGATCAGAAGTAACTCCTTTTGCTGGTATTGATGTAAGTAATGGTCATTTCAGTTTTGCCAATAGGTATGAGTCAATAATCTAGTACTCCAGACATTCAGCCTATTTCAGTTTTGTTTCATTTTATCATTGCATTTGAAAGTCAATGATTAATTAATTTTGTATATTGTATGATTTTTCTATGAAATAAATAATCCATTTTAATCATATATTATTAAAAATTGAGTAGTCAATTGAATTATAAACTACTTCCTCAAATTACAGTCAATCTATACCAAGATCTACACTAAAAAAATCATTATTTTATTGCTGGATGGTTCTTGAATCCAAAGATTTTTTTGTATTTTCAGGTTGATGAGGAAAAAATTGTTTCCTCAACTGGAGCTTTAAAACTAAGTGAAGTCCCACGAAGGCTCATTGTGATTGGTGCTGGGGTGATTGGTGTTGAATTGGTATGTTGTAAAGAAATATGAGAGGAAATAATGCAAATCCTTCAAATGACTTCCCTCTTTCTTACAGTTATATTCATATCATATAAATTTATTTTTATTTATTTATTCATTTTCAAAATATCAAACATATCAGCATACTATATTAATAATAATATACATTTTTTTAATATAAACATGATCAAAAATGTTGAGAACTTGTTCATGATCATGTAATATTTCCCTCATTATCTAAAAATAACTATAAAAACATTATATGTTGCATAGGTATTATTTCATATAATCAAATTTCCAAAATTCCTGAATTCTCAATCAATCATGATTAGATTTTTTCTTGAATAAAAAAACTGATTTTTTTTTCAAAGAAGGAGGCATCAATTTGAATAATGTGATCAGTTTCCTAGAGATGCAGATTAAAAGTGGTTTTATAAAATTATTATTTCAGACACAATGTTGTTCAGAAATTGCCCTCTAAATTAAAGTGGCCAAAACCAGAAATGGGAATCCTAATTTTTTTTTTATTTCAAGCAGTTGTAGCTTTCCTATGAACAGGGTGTTCCTTAAAGGTCTGTACAAAATCTCAGCACATATTCCTAAGGACAAAATAAGCCCAGTCAAAGCAACTTACCTCAGTCCAAAATTGCCAAATTTCCAAGATGCAGGGTAGTAGAGTTAACAAATCAAGATACAATTTTTCAAAATGTATGAACATTGATAGCCGTTTTTTTTGTGCTGTAAAACTCGAAAATAGGCATTGTGGCCATTAGAGGGTGCTTACCAAAGCACTTCTTATGGTTTAGAATGGCTATAACTTTTTTCTCAATGTAGTTTTTCACTTTTTTTTGTGGAGGAAATAAGTTTATGCATATTTTAAAGCAAGAAAGGTTAATATTAGTCCCACAGAAACGTGTAAATGGGCAAAAGTGAAGTATTTTTTATGGGCATTCAGAATCTAGTTCTAGAAAATTCAAAAAAGCAATATACACCTAAAAATTTTAGATACTGTCTACACGACCGCCCGGCGGTTGGATACTGATTCATAAACGACCGCTGCGGCGGTTGGATACTGATTCATAAACGACCGCCGCGGCGGTTGGATACTGATACATAAACAACCACCTCGACGATTTTTCTTCCTCCTTCATAGAGAGTACTCCCGAGCAAAGCAATAGCTCAGTTGACAGTGTATGTAAAGCAATAGTGCAATTGCATTATGTAATCAATGCCATAATAAAAGGCCAGCACTACCCGGAATGCCTTAAAACTGGGCTTGTTGTACCCATTCCTAAACAAGGCAAGAACTTAGCTACCACAATGATGGAAGTAAGATATGGTGCGCGCATTCGGCCATTATTACATATTGAAAATTTCAGTAAAATCACTCGACCGCCTACTATGATTTCTCTACGTCCACAACGAGCGAGACGTTGATTCTACATTTTCCCGGTAGATGGTGATGCTGCTATTGCTGCTGTGATGAGTGAAAATAAAATAGCAAATGGCATTTTAGGTACGTGGAACATATGTACCAGTGGGATTATTCAACTCTGAATTCAAAACTGACAGATATCATAATTGTGCAATGTCGCCATCTATTAGAAGATCGACGGAACCATTGCGCTCACTGTTCTCGAGAGGCCGAGTAAATTTTCTGAAACAAAAGCGCATCAGTAATTACACCATATCTTACTTCCATCATTGCTAGATCCGCATCAAGAGTGCGAAAACCGAAGTAATACATTTTCATCAGAAACGCAATAACTCCACGTTGAGCAGACCTTTGACCGTCAAAGGGGTTGAGGTGACAGACACGACCCCCGTGAAATACCTGGGAGTCAAGTTGGACACCCATATGTCATTCAGGAAGAATACAAACTACCTAATACAGAAAACGCAAGCTGCAATTAAAAAGATGTATCCCTTGCTATCCAGGACCTCCCCTCTCTCGATGGAGAATAAGGTCCTGGTATACAAGCAAATCATCAGGCATGTAATGACATATGCGTGTCCGGTGTACTGCAGCATCCCACCTACTCATATGAATAGGCTACAGGTGCTGCAGAACAAAGTACTCCGTATTATCTCCAACGGTGATAGATACTCTCGAGTGGCAGATCTCCACGAGAGATGTGGTAATTTGCCTAGAGTCAGTGAGTACATATTGAAAATTTCTAATAGATTCTACAAATACCACATCGCTGGAAGTGACCTTACCCGGAACATCACCGCAACCAGACAGCATCATAACATCCGTAAAAAACACGGGCTGATATATGCATCAACCGATGTTTTTAGAGAGCCTGGAAACCTATAGATGGGAATCTTCCCGGAGCCGCGAACCCGTCCGAGACTCCGGGGAGGATCTAGCCATCTTTAAAATAAAATAGTATACCTGATACAGACAATGCAACGGAACGGTGTTAGCGCCCCCGCACCCGCGACCGGCCCAAAAGCCGAGTGCGGGTGGGGGAGCGCTCCCACTCCCTGCCGAGCTAAACGAGAAGGAGGTTTTTGTTTTATAATGTTATTTTCCTCCACAAAACACAACACCCACCACTGATAGTGTCTGAACAACTCCCCCACCCGTTGGGTAACCTTAGTGAAACTACCTGTATAGATAGGCTTCTGCGACGAATACTTCACATATGCACCCACATTCCTTGGCCAACACCAGCCACCTTTTGCTCGGAGGATTATATCTATACAGTTCTAAATTGTACATAGTATACTTATTTATTTACAATGTGGATGTATTTATGTGCTGTAAACCAAAGATGGAAGATAATAAATGACTTTTAATGTGATCACCACGGCGGTGATTCGGGTTCAACCCTTGCGAGGCCTAACTTTTTTTAAACTTTTTCTCACAAATAATTTTTCGAAAAATATACTTCTCAGGAGAAATAGGATATTCAGTTCTAAATACTGCCGTGCTAGATTAAAAAACTCCACAAAGATGATTTTGAGATAATTCTGTTTGAAGTTTTCTCTATTTTTCAATATAATAATGTATGATAATACCAGAAATATTTTCATCATTCGACGCTGAATGTCATGCTCTTCAACTTTGAATACTATGATATTATTCATCCGGGAAGTCGTTTGCAAGATATGGTCGGAAAACCGGAAAAACTCCAAAAATTTTCAGATTCGCTTCCGGACGCCGTTGAAAAACCTTCTTCCGGATTCAAGTTACGAGACAAACAGTACAAGCACTATTGAACACCATTTGATCAGGCTATTGGTTACTGGTGAAACAGCGTTGTGTGTTTTATATTATCATCAGCAAATTATCTATTTTCAGCAAACTGTTTGAAAGTATTATCTATGACAGTATATTTCATTGACTCAAGTCTTCAATTTCAGAACATCAACACGGTTTTTGCTCCAAGCGTGCAATAGAAACAAACTTGATAATTTATTCAGAATACATCTCAAATGCACTAGACAACCGAGCACAGGTGGACTCGTTGTACACTGATTTCAGTAAGGCTTCTGATAAGGTTGATCACAACATCCTTGTCTCGAAGCTTACTGGAATCGGTGTGCAGATGGTTATCATCCTACTTACACAATCGAAGCCAACTCGTGGATCTCAATGGATATAGGTCAGCACCGTTCGTGGTCACTTCAGGAGTTCCGCAGGGTTCACATCTTGGCCCTTTGTTGTTCTCGATGCTGATTAACGATTTGATAGGGTGCTTTGAACAATCCAATATCCTCTTATATGCGAATGACTTGAACATTTTTGGAAAAGTAAACTCTCTTAGGGATTATACGAAGATTCAAGAAGACCTATCGAAATTTGTAGTTTATTGTAATCGCAACAGATTGAAACTTGTTGAGAAATGTGTTTGTATATCATTCAGCAGAAGTACGCCCATTGGATTTCAATACTCCATAAATGATAATGTAATAAATAGAGTAGATCAAATCAAAGATCTTGGAGTATATTTCAATTCTAAAATAAGTTTTAATCCACATCTAGACTATGTTATTAACTCCTGCAGTAAAACCTTAGGTTTCTTTTGCAGAATGTGCAGGGACTTTAACAATGAGGTGGCAGTAAAATCAGTTTACTACTCTTTTGTTCACAGCAAATTAAATTTTGCTAGTCTTATATGGTACCAATATTATAACATACATAAAGTACGATTAGACATGCTTCAGAATAGATTTGTGAGAGTCCTCCATTTTAAAAGGACTAATATATATGTAATAACAGGTATTAGTGAAATTCGTACCCACTATAATATAACATCTCGAACAGCGAAGAATTATCAGTGATTTATTTATCATTTACAAAATATTAGCAAAGTGTTATGACTCACCGAAATTAGTGACAATGATTTCTTACCATGTTCCTCAAAGGTATACCTGGAATTGACAATATTAGCGTGCTCCAATTATGAAACAACTTCAGTAAAAAATCCTCCAATGACCAGAATGTGTGATTTATTCAACGAATATTGCAGTGATGTGAATATTTTTTCATATGATTGTATTAGTGGATGCTTGTATGGGTAACAACCTGTTAGTATCCCAAATTCCGAATAAATAAATAAATAAATCATTATTGCAACTGTTTAAACTAACTCTGCAGGTGCCCCCTTTCCGATTTTGACCATTTTATATTAAAATATTATATTAAAATAATAATAAAAAACAACTATGTGTTTTGTTCAGGGTTCAGTGTGGTCTCGTTTGGGATCAGAGGTCACGGCAATAGAATTCATGCCGACCATCGGCGGTGTCGGCATTGACGGTGAGGTGGCGAAGTCTTTCCAGAAAATTCTCACGAAACAAGGGATGAATTTCAGGCTGGGAACCAAAGTGACAGGCGCCCAGAAGGACGGCAGCACAATAAAAGTCAGCATCGAAGATGTTAAGGATTCTAGCAAACAAGAAGTGGTGAGGCTCCATAATCCCATTACTTTTTCTTACTTTTCCGATAGAGAAGTTCAGCTAGCGTTGATACAGAATAGCTATTTATATATCAAGGGAGTAGAGGTATCCATTACCTCCCGCGTGTGAAGTTTGTTGCCCGACACGTAGCGGAGAGCATTAAATACATGGGAGGAAATGAACCTTTGCTCCCATGATATATACAGGGTCGGGCATTAGTGCGTCGGAGCTCGATTGCTCGACATCTATGATAGCTAGAAACCTGATTCAAAAACGAATGTGAATAAGACAACAAGGTCCATAACTAGAAATTATTGCCGCATATACAGGGCGCACCAAAAATAATCTAGAGGGTCGGGATCATTTTTTTTAAATGGTATGCCCTGTATATCTGTATATTTTATTAAGCATTCCTATGACCTCCATTCACTCCTATGATATCGTTGACTATATCTCGTTCAAACCATGTTATGAATTTTTTTGTCGAAATAATGTCATCTGCAGATGCCTACCGAAAATATCACTGTTGTCACAATTATAAAATTTAAGAAAAAATAATCTCAATATCATTCATTGAAAAGATGAGTGACATTTCTGAAAATGCTTCAGGCCCTCAAATGATACAGGGTGGCTGAAAATGATTTTTCGATTCGGAACTTTTCGAAATGATTTTTCACGAGTTTTTCGAATGGAACACCCCATATATTTTTTGACCATTTGATGTAAAATCGAAACACTAACATATTTATCTGAACATCCATAGAACTCGAGCAATCGAGCTCCGACACACTAATGTCCCACCCTGTATATATATGATTTTATATTTGAAAGCATCATCTTCAAAATTATCCATCAGGTAAAGGTTTAGTTCAGTGTGCCATGGACAATTGACGGTATTTGAACGAAAATCCATTTGGCACTTCTGTCATAATGAATTTGTTCATTATGTTATTATTTCAAAGTTTGGAATATGAGGAAGTATATGAGAGTTCATAATCGAAATTCAAAAGAAAAATTGTAATTTGTTTTATAATAGTGTTGACATTGATTACTTGGATAGCACGGGTCTTATAGATAGGTATATATCTCTCTGCCAAGCACGCTGAAGCCAATTTATTTTACCTCCCACGGGAGGAAAATTCAAGATGGCAAATCCAATATGGCGGATGAGTTGTAATAATGATCTGATTTTATTCAAAATTGGTATCTAGGGGTTTCAAGGTCGTAGATTATGATTATTTCGTCAAAATTGGAGAATTGAAGATGGCGGATCCAATATGGTGGAAGAGTTTTGTAATTATATGATCCAAATCTATTCAAAATTGGTATCTTAGGCTTTTCGGGGTCGGAGATTATGATGCTTTTCTCAATATTGGAAAATTCAATATGGTGGACGGGTTTTGTAATCATGATCCGATTCTATTAAACATTAGTATCTGGAGGTTCTCGGGGTCGGAGATTATAATGCTTTTGAAAATTCAATATAGCGGATACATTATGGCAGACGGGTTTTGTAATCATGATCCGATTCTATTAAAAATTATTATATGGAAGTTGTCGGGGTTGGAGAACTAAAAAATAGAAAATAAATAGTAGTTTTGAAAAACTAAAGAAACACCAACTCATCGATAGTCAAACTAAAAAGTAGTAGAAAATAAAATAATAAAAGTGTGTTGATAAATACACAACATAGAAAATATTAGCATCTCTGTAACCAGTACATTTTATGTTGTGTATTTATCAACACACTTTTATCATTTTATTTACAACCATATATGTAATGTCAATACTAAAGTCATTGAAGGTTGGGAAGTGTCACATTACACACCCTCCTTCACTTATGTAATATTTTAGATATGTTCCATCACATATGATGGTTGTAAATAAAATAGTATACATACCTCGGTAGGAAGTTTCATTCCTGGCTCGAGATTATAACTAACCTCGACGCTTTGCGTCTCGGTTACCTTACTAATCTCAGATCAAATCAAATCAAATATTTTATTCATTCAAAAGACCTAATTTAGGTATAGAATTTGTCAAGGTCAAAATAAAATACATGTTTGTTTAAAATAATTATGAATAAAATTATAAAATGCCTTAAAATGTAAGTACCTACGTAAAAACAACACACAAATTAAAAATGTAATAAAAAATGCAGTCACATAAACAGTTCATTGATATCATAAAATAGATTTGCCATCGAAAATGTTTAATGGAATTTCGGAACTTGGAGTGTGATGATTGATTCTTTATCTCTTCAGGTAATTGGTTATAGACTCTTATGCCAGTTGAAAGTGGACCAATTGATGATATTTGAAGGTTATTTTGACTTGGATATATCAACTGGTTGTATCTGGTTTGATAGCAATGTATGTCCATATGCCTAGGAAGAGTGTTTCTTATTTTATGAATGTAACATGCTAATTCCATTATATAGAGACATGCTAGGGGTAATATATTCAACTCAGCAAATAGGGGTTTACAAGAGAGTCTGGATGATACGCTTTTCATGGTTCTCAGTGCTTTTTTCTGTGCTAGGAATAATTGCTGTGCCGCTGGAGAATTACCCCATGGTAAAATGCCATAAAGTAAAATGGACTGAATTTCTGCGAAGTAAGAATTTCTCAGACAATAAATGTCAACAACCTTCTGCATACATCGAATTTGAAATATTTTTGTATTTATCATTTTGATTTTATTAGATATATGATCTTTCCAACTGAGATCATCCTCCAGAGTTATTCCTAGAAGCTTTACTGTTTGTTTCCTATTGATTTCAAAGTCATCTAATTTAATTGTGATCGGATTGTGAATAATTCTCTGTCTAGTATGAAAGATCAAATACTCCGTTTTTTCGGTGTTGAGAAATAACTGATTCGCCGAAAACCATTCACCAAGTTTATGGAGAAGACGATTACATGCTATTTCATTCTGTTCACTACACTCTTGTGATACTAGAAAAGATGAGTCATCGGCGTAAAGTGTAATTTTATATTCAGGTATGAATTCAACCAAGTCTGCAATAAACAATGAAAAAAGAATTGGTGCTAGAACACTGCCTTGTGGTACTCCCAGTTCCAGTTTCGAGGTGTTAGAGCAATGCTTGCTGATAGAGCCATCAGTTTCCTTGAAATTGATTTGAACAAACTGACTTCTACAGGAATGAATCTCTTCCCACATCGGTGTGTAATATACTATTATTTTCTACTTATTTTCAGTATGGCTATTTATGAAAGGGTGTTTCTTTAGTTTTACCAACAACTTTGTGTCCTTTCCTGCACTGGAAAATATTTTGCAATGCGGAAATTTTCCTGAACTGAAATGATAATATTCTGATTTTGTTCTTCCACATTTCACAGCTGGAATGTGATGTTCTGTTAGTGTGCGTGGGCAGGAGACCGTACACTGAAGGGTTAGGTTTGGAAGAAATAGGTATAGAAAAGGACCAAAAAGGGAGGATTCCCGTAAATTCTGTATTCCAGACAGTTGTACCTAATATTTATGCCATTGGTGACTGCATACATGGTCCCATGTTGGCACATAAAGCAGAAGATGAAGGTAAGTTGTTAATTGTACACTTATCAGTTAGTTTTTCTCGGTAGTAATAATGATTTTTTCGATAAAGCGGCAATGAAGCTGTAAATCCATTTTGTGATATTGTGGAAATGAAATTATTGGTACTTTTTTCAATCAGTTGGTTCCTTAGTACGATAATTATTATGAACAGAGGAAGACTGGAATGGACCCAATGGAAGCTCATTGTATACTGTGTTTCAGCTTGCTAAGAAAGTTACAATGCTCTGAATAACAGTATACAAGCTGATTCACGGTGGATGGCATATTTAGACACTGGATCACTTCGAAAATCTGATGGAAAGCACATTCGGACATTCATTACCCAATTAAAATATTTTCGACCATGCGGTATTGCCACTTCTATTAGAAAGTGGTAGCAACTTTGATTTTTCAAATGGAACACCCTGTAAATATTATTTTCAGAATCTCCAAAAATTGTACAATAACTTTTTTTGATATTACCCTAATGCATATCTGTTGATGTTTTCGAAATGAAAATTAATTTCAATTGTCTTCCTTCAAAAATTATGACCTCTGAAAATGCTGATATTTTTGAGTTGAGGAAAGCTATGGTATCGTAATTTGGTTTGAAGTTTCCACAGTTCTGCATAATCTTCTTTACTTCAATACAGGGTGGTGAGAAAATACAGTTTCTTTGTTTGCTTGAAAAAGTGACTGTAAGTTATTTCCTGCCGGGAATGTATAGATGGAGTCAAAATACCAGTTTTCCTAAAATCCTTCTTTACCAACTTGCAGTTACAAAATGAAAAATGTTTTTTTTTGATAACTTTCAAAGTGAATATTCAAAATCATCCAAATTTTAGTGATTGATTAAACAAATGAATTCCTTCAATGAGCTTTCATGCAGGAGTCTTTTATCAATATCTGTGGTTGACTGGTTGAGTACTGTGTGAAAAAAAAATAGAAGAAGACAAATTCAACCTAAAACAGTGTTGCTGACATTGAAACAAATGAGCTATCGACCTCATCCTTTACAGGCTATATTCCGAATTCAACTGGTCAGTACTGTCAGTAGATCCACTGAATCTGCTGAAAATCTGTGTTCCGAAATATAAAATAAAAAATACAGTGCTGTAATTCGGAACGTTTTCATGGTTTTCATCAGTAGTCAGCAGCAGCTGTATGTCGTTTATCTAAACTAGATAATTTAGCTTCCTGCTTGACATACATTTTGGAAATTTAATATTTAACATGGAAGAGCAATCGGTTTCATAGTTTCTTCGATTGTTGACGATGATTCAAGCTCGAGTGATGAAGAATACTTGCACATTTATGTAATATGGCATTAATGATGGTGCATTTAGGAGACATTCCAGGTTTATTTAGATATTTATTTACCCAATGCTCCTTCTTCTTTCGTTACCTCTTCTACTACATACTCCATATTATTCTCAGCGTTTATTATTTCAATAACGGGTATTTTCTGATATTGAAAATAATATAATTAACAACGGAAATAAATGTTACATTAATGACAGTTTACTGAAGCCACACTACCCTTTGATAGTTAGCAATTTCAGCAGGATGTTGAGTCGAAATATTTGGGATGAATAATATATCTGCGCACAAGCATCTGTCACATTCAGTGATTTTTTTTATCTCGGAATGAAGAATCAGCAGATTCAGTACTGTCAGTTGAATTCGGAATATAGCCACAGTAGCGCCATTGACAGGCAGACAAATAATGGGTCAATGAACAGACAATATTATACCTCTCGCCTACCAAGTAGCGAACTAGCTTCTCCGTTTAGATCGACAATGGCTAAAGTCAATTTCCTCGCTATATTCCAGGTATCGTCTGTGTGGAAGGGATAATGGGCGGGCCCGTGCACATCGACTACAACTGCGTGCCCTCCGTGATCTACACCCACCCCGAGGTGGGCTGGGTAGGCAGGAGCGAAGAGGACCTCAAGGCCGAGGGCATCGAGTACAAGGTATTGATATAATAGTTATTCATGTACCAAGCAGTGGCGGCTCCTCAGAGATTTTCCTTAAACTAATATTATCTATACTTTCTCATTGAAAGGACACCAAAATACATGGATTTTGATTTTATTTCTTGTTTTAAGTTCAATATTTTTGAATTGGCAACAGTGCTTGCCCACGCATCACACGTTGAAGTCTGCAAATCACGCGTAAAATATTCAACTTGGCAACATCTATAGGAGGCTAGACTCCGTCACATAGCGCAACCTACGCGTGCAATGCAAATGCCCCAATACGCCCGAATAGCACGTGTTTGTCGTGTCGCTTCGCAAATTGCGGACAAACGCGAGTGCATTGTTTATGTTTATGTTAGGTTAATGGTTAGGGGCTCTATAAATTTCTGAAAAATGAGTGTTCTAAACGATTGCGATTTAGTGGAATACTTTTTGGTGAACCCATTCAGTGCTTTGTCTTATGAAGATAAATTGATTGTGAAAAACAAACGTCCGACACCGGAATTGAAAAATCTGATTGTAACAGGTAACAAACAAAATCGTTCGTTCAATTCTGATAAGAGTAGTAGAGAGTTGTTTTTCACAGTTGTTTTTCACATCAAATCTCATATCATCACGAGCCGCCACTGGACTACCAAGTGCATTATATATATTTTTATCGCTTGGAGCGCACGAAAGGAAATCCCTATAATGTTCAAAGAACATCGTGCGTTCCTAGGGAGGATAGGGACAGGAAGTAGGTATTGGAATTTTTTTTGAACTTCTGGAGATTATATGTTGTTGGGAATACTTCCTCAGGCAATGAATTCCAGAGCCTAGCCGTTCTATGGATGAAGGAGTTTTGATAAAGTGCTGTTCGACATCTTTCGAGGTTGACAACGAAAGGATGTGCTGACTGGGCTTGTCTAGTTCGTCTGACTAGTATTGCTAGTGAAGGGATGATAGCAGAGATTTCCGAAGAACATTTCCCGTGGAAGTATCGATAGAAAAGTGAAAGGTCGCCGACCTTTCTACGGTGTTCCAATGATGTCAAAGAGTGAGTGAGTGTGGCGTCACCCACCAGGCGAATGGCTCTTCTCTGGATGGAATCTAAGAGCAACAGCGTATGTTTTGGTGCTGAACCCCATAAGCGGTAACAGTATTCTAGAACAGGCTGTATCTCCGCTTTGTAGATCATGAGAAGCTGTTGAGGTGTAAAGTAGCTTTTCGCAGGGAACAAGAATCCGAGTTTTTGTGAAGCAGCTTTTGCGATGGATCTGACATGATTATCCCATGAAAGAGTGTTGCTGATGGAAATACCGAGCATAGATATGGTGGGCTTGGTGGGGATGGTGGTGCCAGACATTACAATATCGGGCATACTGAGTTCTGCCTTTCTAGAGAAAATACAGGCTTGAGTTTTGGTGGCGTTGAATTCAACTAGGTTGTTGGTTCCCCAGGCTGTGATTTCAGCAAGGTCTTCATTGACAGCATTGACCTGCCTTCGTCGTGAGTTCTTAGTTTCCTGGGAAGAAATGGGAATTCTGGAAGAGAACGCAGTATGGAGGGTACTATCATCTGCAAAGCTGTGGATGGGGCAAGTTGTTACTCCCAACAGATCATTGATATGAAGAAGGAATAATGTTGGTGCCAAAATTGATCCTTGTGGAACGCCGGAATTGATCACAATGGTATCAGACGATACACCGTCCACCACCACATGAAGCGATCTGAAACAAAACTCGATGAGAGATGGCATAGCTGAGGTGGTAAGCCGTATGATGGTAGTTTGTGGAGGAGTCCTTCGTGCCAAACACGGTCGAATGCTTTCGATATGTCCAACGCGACAGCTAGAGATTCCCCGTGTTTTTATAATGAAGCTTGCCATAGATGGGTGACGTAGGCAAGTAGATCTCCAGTAGATACAAGATCCTAACGTCCGGGGGCTAACATTCACCCGAGGGCGTTTCGCCCGAGGGATGAATGGACGCTGCATGTTTGTAAGAATTGACACGCTTGTCAAATCAATCTGTGCTTTATTGTCCAAGAATATTTTTCTTATTGACAAAGCTTGAATGATATACAGGGTGTCCCGTAAAGACCACGTCAAACCTAGGGAAAATGTATATCAATGGATAACCCACCTGCATATGACAAAATGTTCATTATAAAAGTCTCACCGTTTTCGAGATTTTTGTTGTTGAAAATATCCACTACCAGAGTTTTCAATTAAACTATTTCTCACAGCCCCCCTTTACAATGTTTGGAGAATGTTTTTAATGTATACGTTAAAATCATTCTTCAGCAATATTTACTGACAAAATGAACCAAAAAGGTGTAAAATTGCACAACCGTGCATACAAAACTATCGAGAGGGGCAAAAATTCAAAATTTTCAACAAAACTGTTTGTTTTCCTGACCCATAACAGCTTTGTTTTATTCCGACACCATATACATGTTTTTAGTATGATGATGGCCGTTGTGCCGAAACCGGTCACTGTCTAATTTACAACAATTTTTTGATATAAAGTGTGGTCGACCGACTTGCGAGTCTTGGTAATTTTGCACTTATCATGCGATGGTTTTTTATTTCGAAATTTTTTTTGGTAGTTACGTATTTTTGTCTGAAAAACACGAATTTGATAATGAAAATGTGAACAAACCATTATTTATTGAGATATTTCACAATAAAGTTACAAATTTCACCTTCTTTTCCGCCTGTCTTCTGGATCGGATTTAGAACAATCTGCCCTTCTTTTTCCATCATTGGACAATTTATATATATCACAATGTACGACACAATTTTTTCTATGATATGAGTCAACTAGAAATATCCATGTTTATTGAAAAGAAGGAAGAATATAATTTGAAACAATGGCGTGTGTAATTCAAAAGCAATCTGTTTACATTTGACATCTCGTATTTGGATTGACTATTGATAAAATGGCCGTCATCTGTTATGCTTGTTCACTAAATATGAAAAACTCCATAAAAATCATATTTCCTGTTGAATTTTCTATATAAAAATGTGGCATTGAAGTACATCATGAGTAAATATGTATGTATGTGTGTGGGCGGTCCGAGACCTGACGCACTTAGGCCTCCCTTTTCGGGCCCATTGTGCACCCACATTCCTGGGATCGCAAGTCAGCCATGGAGAAGGCCGATCTCGCGAGCAAAAGAGACAAACTTTCTAGGCCAAATCTTTTTAACATCCTCTGGGTCCAGGATACTGCTCCCAAAATGGATATCTCTTGCTGCCACTACTGCCGGGCATTCAGTGAGGATGTGAGTAGAAGTCTCTTCATCCTCTAGGCACCATCTGCATTCAGGATCCTCCACAATCCCGATCGTGCTCAGATGTTTGTTCAAGTGGCAGTGCCCTGTCAGAAGGCCCACCACCAGTTTCAGCTCCTTCCTATTCAAAGCCAAGAGGGCATTGATCTGTCTTCGTGACGGGTTTCCTATATGGAGTTTGGACTGCCTCATTCCAGGAGCCTTTCTCCAGCTGTCCTGAAACCTTTTCGTCAGGATTTCCTTCATCCTGAAGTTGCTCCAGGATCGAGTGACCCCTAAGATTGGCTCTGGGCCAATCACTGAACCCTTCGCCCTCTTTCTGGCCAGACCATCGGCCATTTCGTTATCTGGTACCCCTGAGTGTCCAGGGACCCACAAAAGACATACTTATGCACTCTGACACCAAGCCGGAGGTCACCCTATACGAGGTGAGCGCCTTGATCGCCGCCTGGCTGTCAGTGCATATAGTGATTTGCCATCATGAGTATATAAAGTGTTCAATGACAAAATAAGAAGAGCAAGTAGCTGCAAATGCATCCAACACAAGGGGAAAAAGAAGGCGAAATTTCGAACTTTTTCTTGAAATATCTCGATAAATAGTGGTTTGTTCACATTTTCATTATCAAATTCGTGTTTTTCAGACAAAAATACGTAAGTACCAAAAAAAATTTTCGAAAAAAAACCCATTGCAACTGCAAAATTACCGGAGTGTTTTATTTCATTTGAATGAATACTGTGCCACTTTGAGAATGGATGATTTTCATAATTTATTAATATTATTATTATTAAGGTGGGCAAATTCCCATTCATGGCGAATTCGCGAGCGAAAACAAACAACGACACCGACGGATTCGTCAAAGTCCTCGCCGACAAATCGACCGACAGGATTCTGGGGACGCACATCATCGGCCCCGGAGCCGGGGAGCTCATCAACGAGGCCGTTTTGGCTCAGGAGTACGGGGCTTCTAGTGAGGACGTTGCGCGGGTGTGCCACGCGCATCCCACGTGCTCGGAGGCGCTGAGAGAGGCGAATTTGGCGGCGTACTTTGGTAAACCGATTAACTTTTAATGCTGGATGTCTGTTTGTGCTGTAAATACTACATGGTAATGAAGTAATAATTTATCTTTTAATATAAAGTATGATGTCTGTTAAGTTGTTTACTCAATATAAGTCCTTTTATTTACTGTGTATGCTTTTTATCCACTAGGTATAATGATACGGGCAAATGTTGGGTTTACCTTGCTATGTTTTTTTGATGTGCTGAATCCGAATCTGGAATTATCCAACATTTCCTGGTACGTTTTGAGATATTATTCCTACTAAAAAAATCAGCAGGTTACATGGGCGAGTTCGACTCTCACGCGGGGCGGTGGAGTTTTTTCATTTCTCGTTGTCACTCGAAATTAGGCCTCTCCATCATCTTCATTATTATATGTATCTTTTCGGTCGAATAACCGACAAAAATTATAGATTGCTTGCGGACATTTCCGTACACAAGGAAAGACAATTCCAGAGAACCAACGGGGAAAAATGGAGACTGTATAGTACCATCCTGCCAGCGATGCTTCATATAGTGCATGATTTCGAGTGACTTTGGGATTTGGAGGGATTCAGCCGCCTGGTGTGTGATGAGAACTCGACCTTCCTGCCCATTGATCGACGGATGACCCGTTAGCTCAATTGGCAGAGCGTTGGGCATGTAACCCAATGGTTGAGTGAGTGAGTGAGTTCGACTCTCACGCGGGAAGGTGGAGTTTTTTCATTTCTCGTTTTCACTCGAAATTAGGGTTTTCCATCATCTTCATTATTACCTTATTATTATTCAACAAAATTTCCTGGAACGTTTTGAGATATTTGAAGAAATAGTTATTTTTGTATCTAGATCGCGAAATGCTACTTTGGTGATCGAGATCTGATTTTTTTAACGAGGCGTTGCCGAATAATCCATATTTTTTTGCTTTCAATTCCTGAAAGTATGTGCTCAAGTATGTGTGGTAGCATATAGGTAACTCTTACCTTTTTCGAAGTACCTAAAATTTGCCACAATTCAAATCCAAATGCAGCACTACAAAAATGGGTCAATTTTTGCAAAAAGTTGAATTTCAAATTATTGGGCCAACTTTCAAGCTGAATATATTGGTAGAAATACTGATCCTACGGAAAAACTTGTCAGGAGTAAAGTTGTATCAAAGCTTTTAAGCTTCAATTCAAACTCACAGAGTGACCCAAGTAAATTTGATTTCTGTTTGTCCTGTGAATACTACATGTATATGGTACCGTCAAGTTGGGTGACTTGAGACTGCCTGGTGACTTGGGACAAAACTTTAGGTATTTCTGAGAAGGGTTGGCAACGCCGCAGATTGTACTGGAATTCAGTTTCCACTCGGTATTCATTCACGACAAGTCTATGCAAGTTGTTTTCATAGTTTTTGCTGGTTAATTAAGAAGGTAAGTGCGGTTTTAGTATTTTATTGTGAGAATAGGGTTTGTGGGATTTATAGGTATGTTAAAAAACTTTATGTATGTATGTAGTCCAAACTGACAAATTTATGGGAATGGTAATATTTTACATTGATGTTATATGGGAAGTATTTATTGCTATATACATTTTTGTTAACATTAACGGTTTTTTTGATTTATATAAGAAAACAAAAAATGTGATTTATAGGGACGAGATGACAGTAATGATTCCTTTTCCACGAAATCGTCATGTGATAGCCCTGAAGATTTTGAAGAAGACGTGGATATGGTTGATCCTTCGGATTTAAAAGTTGATGACTTTATTTTGGTGCAATTTTCATATGAGGCTCCCTATAAGCCAGTTATTTTGAAGAAATTCATTGGACAAATTATTGAACTATAGCCGGATTTAGTTTTGTGTAAATTTATGCGCAAATCACTACAAGGAAAAAATATTTACGTATTTCCAGATATTGAGGACGTCACAGATATTAATAAAAATCAAATTCTGTCAAAGCTGGTTCCTGTGTTTGTTCGACGAGGAAGATTCACTTTTTCTATTGACCTTTAAAAATCTGGCACAATTGTTTAAAACATTTTTTTTTTTCGTTAAATGAGTTTTTTATTTGTTTTTTAAGAGTTATTATATGCTTTATTTAGATTAGTTTCAACCAAAGTTTTTGAAGTTCCTACTTATTTTTTTAAGAATTAAAACTAGTTTTGTATTAAAAATGTTAAATGTTTAAAATAAATATATTTTTCCGTCGACCTCGTATTAACGACTAAGTTCAATGTATATGAAATCGTTCATTAATTACCCCTTTTAATGGACGATTTTTCTATTAATGCACGATTGTTTTATAGGCAACCAAACATACACCGCGTGCATTCTATGTTTATGCTATAACTTACGGAATCTGCATTTAAATCGAAAATATGGATTTCATCGAAGATTCTCCGATAACGGGTTCGCCTTTCCCTGTTTTCTAACACAAGGAATTTATTTTCTATGTTGATCATTTCGACAAATGTCACTAATGTCAGTAACAAGGCTACTGGGTGATTCTTAGCAGTTTCTGGATGGATGATGAATTCGCGAACCAAGGTTTCTTCATTGCTGAAGAAAAGAGAAACATAGTCGACGCCCGACGGAAAAATTTTGTAACCAACTTGTAAATTAAAAGGCGATTAATGATCTCGAACATTAACGCACTCGCTTCGCTAGCACGTTAAAATATCTCGATCATTAATCGTCCTCATTAATACACTAGTTGGTTAAATAACTATTTCCAAATAAGAGTTGGGTTTATGAAACAATATGTTCTATTACGTTTTTAAAAAGACTATTAATGTCTCAAGTCCGCCAATTGACGGTCCGTTTTGAGTTTATAATGAAAACAAATTACTGTCTCAAGTCACCGCCCCTGTGAAGGTGAATGAGACACACAAAAAACAAATTTATCTGATTAATTTTAGCTCTTTTTTTTATTATTCATTTTTGAAGAATGTATGTAGGCTCAAAAATGTGTCCTTGTTTCATAATTTTAATTTGCTGGAATACAATTTTACATTCCTTTGAATTTTGAAACTGTCTCAAGTCACCCAACTTGACGGTAATAAAGTAACAATTTATGGTTCAATATAGTAAGTATGCTGGCTGAGAAATTGTTTACTCAATATACGTCCTTTTATCGATTGTGTATGTTATTCATCCAGTAGCTAACTTCAAACCCAGCGAGCACAAAAACATCTCAGAGATGTTAAAAGTACGAAATTTCGAGACATTGAACCTCAACTGCGATGTTCTGTTCACACATGAATAGAACTATTATAGAACAGCCAATGTCCGCCGTATGCGGCAATTATCGAGATGTCCTTGATATGTCACAAAACTACCTTCTCCCTAGTTCTTTTCAAAGCCTTTTCATGGACACAACAGAACATTTTCAACGCGTCTTGCGCACATTAAATCGCTGTAAAAAAACCATTTTCGAGGTACTTTTCTGAAGCCTTTTGTCAAAATGAACTTTTGCATTAGGATTCCATTTCCCTTGAATGAAAAAATGCATTAAAAATAGATTGAACATAAAGATATTCTCTTGATATGAAAGTACCTTCTTAATCGGTTTCTGCAAACGCGAATGCCAATTGCGAACAAGAAGAACAAAATCGAAAACAAATCAGAATTCATCGTATTGTGACGTAAGCATGAGACGTTGTGGTGGGGCAAACAAAGAAAGGGCACAAAATAACAAAAACAATACTTTCAATATCCTTCTAAGATCTCTTATTTGGGAAGTGCATATTACGCCTCAAAAAAACATCCTGATGCCTACATTTCTAAAACATCCTAAAACATCCCAGGGATACCTCCCAGTAGGCAAACAAAGAAATGCCACAGAAGAACAAAAACAATACTTCAATATCCTTCAAAGACCTTTTTGGTCAGTGCATATTACGTCTCAAAATAACATCTTCATGCCAACATTTTCAAAACATCCCAAAGCATCCCAGAGATGTTTGTGCTCGCTGGGAAGTTATGCCGTAAAAATACAGGTAAAGGTTTACCGTGCAAAAAATCTAGTAGTCGATTTCTTTATCGTTCCCTATGTTTTTTGATTTGCTGAAAGCGAATCTGCGATTATCCAACAAAATTTCTAGGCGTGTTTCCAATTTTCTGCACGTTGACTAAGTAATAATTATTTATCTTTTAATATACAGTATGCTGTCTGTTGAGTTCTTTACTCAATATAAGAACTTTTATTTATATTGTGTTCGTTTTTCATCCAGTATTCAAAATTTTGACTGAAGAACGGCTTGAAACATTAGCAACTGCACTCAGTTTCCAAAATAGTATATTATTCAACGAGCACGGAATGATAGTATAATTTCCCATGAGAATGAAGTTTGGAGCATGAGCTGTCTAATAGATGAGCATTACATATCAAGAGAAAATCAGATGCCTACAAGCCGAAGAGATGAAAATTTTTTCTGTTATCTGCTGTTACAGCCGTAGGTAAAGTATGGTGTCGTAATTTCTTCTCGTATCGTTTGTAAACTTCATTCTCATGGGAAATGAATATCATTCCGTGCTCGTTGAAAAATAAACCATTTTGTGATAGGTAGGTATCATTCAAGTGTCATGAGATGACGTTTGAATTTCGAAATTGTCATTGCAAGAGGACGCGAATATTTTGTATACTTCACGATCAGAATCACGCTTGTTCCTGAACAATTTGACGTTGTGGAATGTTCGAATTACGAAATATAGTGTGGGAGAAAATATTTTTTGAAATAATGAAATAAGTATACTTATTTATGAAAACAATAAAATATATATTTCTGAAATGAAAACCATGAAAAATATGATTATGATGACATAATGAATAGATATACAAATTAAACAAAACATTTAGCTAATTATATATACATATACTGAACCGATTAATAATGCACTTCACCATCTTCACCATCAGTGGCAGACGAGAAAAAATCTGCTATTGAATAATAAAAACAGGCTTACCAAAAGAGCCTGTATGGATGTATTCAAGTATATGTGTAGGTAATAATATTCATCAAAAGTTTCTATTAGTCATGGTATAATACATTTTGTAACGGCACTATTAAATATAGTGATATCTTTTTGATGCATTATTAAATCAGTAGACTCCACGACCTCTAGTACACA